TCAAGAAATCGACAGCGCCCTGGCTCGTTTGGCTCAGCAGTTAGAGCGTTGGCTGGCGGTCCAGAGAGACACCGGTTCGGTTCCCACTAAGGGCACATACCATTGTCCCAGGCCATGATTGGGTTGTGTGGGAGACAGATACTTGATGTGGCCTTTTCACGTTGATGTTTCTCTCTCTCTCTCTCTTCCTCTTTCTCCCTCCCACTCTATCTGAACAAAAAATGGAAAAATGTCCTCGGGTGAAGATAAAAATAAAAATAATAAAAATAATAAAAAAGAAATCGAAGGCATTCTTATACACCAATAATGAACTCACAGAAAGAGAAACTTAAAAAACAATCCCATTTAGCATTGTGGCAAAAAAATTAAGATACCTAGGAATAAACTTAATCAAAGAAGTAAAGGACCTATTTGCAGAAAACTACAGAACATTGAAAAAAGAAACAGAGGAAGATATAAAAAAAGTGGAAGCACATACCTTGTTCATGGATTGGAAGAATTCACATCATTAAAATGTCCATACTCCCCAAAGCAATCTATAGATTCAATGCAATTCCCATCAAAATACCAACGACATATTTCACAGAACTAGAACAAATACTTCAAAAGTTCATATGGAACCAAAAAAGACCCCGAATAGCCACAGCAATCATGAAAAAGAAGGACAAAGTAGGTGGAATCACAATACCGGATATCATGTTATACTACAAGGCTACTGTAATCAAAACAGCCTTGCCCTGGCCAGTTTGGCTCAGCGGTTAGAGCGTCGGCCTGCGGTCCAGAGAGACCCGGGTTCGGTTCCCGCTAAGGGCACGTACTTCGGTTGCAGTTTGTCCCCGGCCCTGGTTGGTCGTGCGGGTGGCAGCCACTCAATGTGTCCCTTCACGTCAATGTTTCTCACTCTCTCTCCCTTCCTCTCTCTCCCTCCCATTCTATCTGTACAAAAAATGGAAAAATATCCTCAGGTGAGGATAAAAAAACAAACAAACAAACAAACAAAAAAACAGCCTGGTACTGGCACAAGAACAGGCATATAGACCAGTGGAACAGAACAGAGAACCCAGAAACGGACCCAAGACATTATGCTCAATTAATATTTGACAAAGGTGGCAAGAGCATACAGTGGAGTAAAGACAGCCTCTTTAATAAATGGTGTTGGGAAAATTAGAAAGCTACGTGCAAAAAAATGAAACTAGGCCATCAACTTACACCATACACAAGAATAAACTCAAAATGGATAAAAGACTTAAAGGTAATCTGTGAATCCATAAAACTCCTAGAAGAAAATGTAGGCAGCAAAATTTCAGACATCATATGCAGCAGAATTTTCACTGATATATCACCTGAGGCAACAGAAACAAAGGAAAAAATGAACACATGGGACTACATCAAACTCAAAAGCTTCTGCACAGCAAAAGATACAACCATCAAAATGGAAAGACAACCCACTGTATGGGAGAGCATCATTGCCAATGATGTATCAGATAAGGGGTTAATTTCCAATATATATAGAGTGCTCATACACCCAACAAAAGGAAGACAAAGAACCCAATTAAAAAATGGACAGAGGAGCTGAATAGACACCTCTCCAAACAGGACATACAAATGGCCAAGAGACATATGAAGAAATGCTCAACATCACTAATCATCAGAGAGATGCAAATTAAAACAACAAGGAGGTATCACCTCACACCTGTCAGAATGGCCGCCATCAACAAATCATCAAACAAGTGTTGGCAAGGGTGTGGAGAAAAGGGGACTCTAGTATACTGCTGGTGGGAATGCAGACTGGTGCAGCCACTATGGAAAACAATATGGTGTTACCTCAAAAAATTAAAAATTGAACTTCCATTTGACCCAGTGATCCCACTTCTAGGAATATACCCTAAGAAGCCTGAAACACCAATCAGGAAGAATATATGTACCCCCATATTCATTGCAGCACTATTTACAATAGCTAAGATCTGGAAACAGCCCAAGTGTCCATCAGTAGACGAATGGATAAAAACGCTGTGGTACATGTACACAATGGAGTACTATGCAGCTGTAAGAAAGAAAGATCTCTTATCCTTTGAGACGACATGGAGAAACCTGGAAAGTATTATCCTAAGCGAAACAAGCCAAGCAGAAAAAGACAAATACCACATGATCTCACTTATTTGCGGAATATAATGAACATAACAGTCTGAGGAATAGGGTAGACCCAGAGACGTGGAAGTAGGGTTCAGACTGACAACCGTTGGAAGAGGGGTTGGTGGAGGGAGGGAGGAGATAAACCACAGAACTTATGTGCATGTACGCATAACCAATGGACATGGACTACAACACTGGGGATGGCGTGGGCGGGGATGGGGAGGAGGGTGTCAATGGGGTAAAAAAGGAGAAACATTTGTAACAAAAACAAAATAAAATAAAAATGTTTAAAAGAAAAAAATAAATAAAAATAAAAATTAATTTGCCATTTGACCCAGTGATCCCACTTCTAGGAATATATCCTAAGAAGCCAGAAACACCAATCAGAAAGAATACATGCACCTCTATGTTCACAGCTATTTACAATTGCTAAGATCTGGAAACAGCCCAAAGAATTATTTTAAAATAGAGGAAAAGAACCCGGCCAATGTGGCTCAGTGGTTGACCGTTGATCCATGCACCAAGCGGTCGCCAGTTTGATTACTGGTCTGGGCACATGCCCAGGTTGTGGGCCTGATCCCCAGTGGGGGACATGAGGTAAGCAGTCAATTGATGTTCTCTTTCATCGATGTTTCTATCTCTCTCTCCCTCTCACTTCTTCTCTCTCTAAAATCAATAAAGGAAAACAAAAAAATTTTTTTGAAAGAAACACACTCCCAGCACTTGGTTGAACCCTTTCTTTGCCAATTTTGATGGAATTTAGTGCCACATGAAATTTTACTTTGGAAGTAAATTAAGAAATCCGAACTGGCAACCTCTTGGTGCACAGGTCGATGCTCAGCCACTGAGCCACACCAGCCAGGCACCATTTTAACCATTTTTAAGTATACAGTTCACTGGCATTAATTATATTTCATTCATAATGTTGTGTAACCACCACCTCTATTTATTTCCAAAACTTTTTCATTACCCCAAATGGAAACTCTGACCATTAAATCCCTGGTAATTGTAATCCAACTCCTGGTAACCTCTAATCTACATTAATTATATGCCTGGCACCTCAGATAATTAGAATCAAACAAGATTTGTCCTTTTGTGTCTGCCTACTTTTACTTAGCATGTTTTCAGGCTTCATCTGTGTTGTAGCAGGTATCAGACTGGATATTACATTGTATGAATAGACCACATTTTGTTTATCCACCAGTTTATTATAGGTATCTGTGTTGTTCTACTTTTTGGTTATTATGAAAATGTTGCCAAGAACATTCATGTACACATTTCTGTGTGGACATATGTTTCCGTTTCTCTTGGTTGTATACCTACAAGTGGAATTGTTGAGTCACGGTAACTATGTTTAACTTCCTGAAGAACTGCTAGACTGTTAGTTTGCACAGTGGCTGTGAAGGTTCTAATTTCTCCACATCCTCACCAACACTCATTATTTGTCTGTAATCATCCTAGTCAGTTTGAAGCAGCATCCATCTCATTATAGTTTTTATTTGTATTTCCCTAGTTACTAATGTTGAGCATCTTTTCATGAGGATATTGGCCATTTGTATAACTTCTTTAGGGAACTGACCCAGGTCTCTCCGGACCGCAGGTCAACGCTCTAACCGCTGAGCCAAACCGTCCAGGGCCCGTTGCCCATTTTTATCTTGACTTATACTAGACCCTCATCAGATATATGATTTGCAACAATGCTCAAAAACTAAAAACTAAAAACATGTTCTTGCCCTGGCCGGTTTGGCTGAGCGGTTAGAGCGTCGGCCTGCGGTCCTGAGAGACCCGGGTTCGGTTCCCGCTAAGGGCACGTACCTCGGTTGCAGTTTGTCCCCGGCCCTGGTCGGTCGTGCGGGTGGCAGCCACTCGATGTGTTCCTTTCACGTCGATGTTTCTCTCTCTCTCTCTGTTCCTCTCTCTCCTTCCCACTCTACCTGAACAAAAAAATGGGAAAATGTCCTCGGGTGAGGATAAAAAAATAAATAAAAAAATAAAAACATGTTCTTCTTTGCAAGACACGAAAAAGAAAGTTACTAACTAACTGGAGGTTTGGGCTGTTTTCGACACACAGCACCCTGTCTGGGGAGACAGTGGCACAGCCACGCAGGACCATCTCATTAGTTTTAATGTGGTGATGCGGGGCACTGGGGCAGGAGGAACTGGGGGCCACAGAGACTACCTATGTCTTGGCTGGGGCGACAGTTACACCAGCACAGTCTTTGTTAAAACTCATCGAACTGTTAAGCTGACGTTTAATTTGTAAACTGTCTCTCTCCTTTTTCTGTTTTTTTTTCCCCTCACCCGAGGATATTTTCCCATTTATCTTCAGATACAGTAGGAGAGAGGGAGAGAGAGAAACATGGATTGGCTGCCTCCTGCACGTCCCCTACTGGGGATCCAGCCAGAAACCTGAGCAAGTGCCCTGACCTGGAATCCAACCGGGGCCTCTCAGCCCCTGGGATGCCGCTCAACCCACTGAGCCACACCGCCGGGCTATAAACTGTATCTCAACAGGGTGCATTTAAAAGAAAAGAAACCTCAGTGGTGGCCTCCAGGAGTGCACGACAAGACGGCCAGGCCCGCGGCGGCACCTGCAGAGAGGTTCTCTCCAGAACGAAGGGGAGTGACTGACGCCGCCTTGGAGCGGTACCGCGCACAGCTGCGCACCAAGGGACCGGAACCTTCGGTCGCCGAGGTGTCGCAGGAGGCCTACCCCTGCGAAGGGTGGCATCCGGGGTCGGAAGTTCGGCCGGCGAAGGCGGGGCTTCGCTACAAGGGGGCGGGGCTACATTTGCATTTCCGGCAAGCTTGGACCTTTTCTCTCGCCGTAGTGCCTGGGACCGGAAGCTGCCCTTGGCGTGCTCTAGGTTTCCGGAGGGGAGCGGCTGTGGCGCTCCATGTGGGAGCTGCTGTGAGGAGCTGGGGCTCGGAGTGACCGACGTGGAGCGTCGGGTGAGCAGGGCTGTGGGCCGGTGGCGTACGGAGGGGCGCGGCGCCCGCGGGGGTTCGGTGTGGCGCGGCCTGGGGGCTGAGGACCTCGCGGAGGCTGGAGTCGCACCTGCGGGCCGCGCGTCCCGGGCACCGGTTCCGAGTCCCAGACCGCTGGTGCGGCGGCAAGCATTCCGCACGCGAGGCCTGCGCTGCTGGCGGCTGGGCGGGAGATGGCCTCACTCGGTTCGCCACGTCTCACGGCGGCTGTGTTTCTAGCCCGTGGTTCGGAAACCCGCCAGCGTGGGAGATGACGTCCTTAGCCCAGCAGCTCCAGCGACTCGCCCTCCCTCAGAGTGACCCCAGCCTCTTATCTAGAGATGAAGTTGCCTCCTTGTTGTTTGACCCCAAGGAGGCGGCCACCATCGACAGGGACACCGCCTTTGCCATTGGTGAGCCACCCTGTAGAAAGCCCTGTGAAGCGTTTGTCTTCTGGGTGTTGCTATATTTTCTTTTTTTCTCTTCTGATCTGCCCTCTAGCTTAGCAGTTTCTAACTTGTTGACTTACGTTGTTAGGGAAAGAGAATGACAGCCGTGAGCTAGATGCTTGAAATGTGTACAGTTAGCGGCATCTGCGTTTCACAGATGAAATAAGGTTAGGGAGGAGCAGCCTCTCCAGAGGACTGGCCCAGGTGTTGTAGGAGATAATTAAAAAAAACAGCCCTTGCCAGGAAGCACCTTTTGTTCTCCTGGTTGCTGCGATACTACTTATTCTCTAGTTGAGAATTACAAACCTACGTTTGGGACTGTGTAACAGATTACACGTGCTCAAAGAATTAAGACACCTTTTTAGGGGTGAGTAAAACTGTAAAAGGGGTGGGAGGGTGAGATGAGTTTTCTTGCAAAGAATTGTTAAATAAACTGTCCTTTTCCTAGGTTGCACTGGCTTGGAAGAGCTGCTTGGAATTGATCCTTCCTTTGAGCAGTTTGAAGCGCCGTTGTTCAGCCAGCTAGCAAAGACCTTGGAGCGCAGCGTTCAGACCAAGGCGGTGAACAAACAGCTGGATGAAAGCATTTCATTATTTCTTATTCACTTGTCCCCTTACTTCCTGCTGAAGCCAGCACAGAAGTGTCTGGAGTGGTTGATTCACAGGTAGCAAATGGAACTGCAGAAATAATTAAGGGCTAACAACTTTGATCTTTTAAAAAATTAAGTAATGACAGCATTTATCAATTTAAAGCTGAAAAAATTAGGTGAGAGATTGACATAATATCTAGAGATACAAGATGCATGATGAGGGTGTGATGAGCATGCCCTTCTGCCATTAAACTTGTTTTTGTTGATAGTGACACAGGACTTGAAGATCTTGAGGTTGAATCTCATTGGTTCTAAGGTGCTCATGTCACTTTGCCATTTCTAATTGTTACTGCATATTTGGGGCAAAGGAGCTTACTAAACTTCTTTCTTGCCAAAATAACAAGATCAGTGGTTTGGGAAGAGGAATAGTAGCCTATAAAGTACTATAACTTTAGAAAACTATAATAGCTAACATGTATTGAACATTTATACACTAGGCCCAATGGTGTGGGAGCACTTTATGGGCATTATCTCAATACTCCTAACATTCCTATGGGAAGATACTTGTATTTCCCCCTTTTATAATTGAGAAAACTGAGGCATAGAGGGGTTAAGTTGCCTAAGTTACATATCTGGTAAGCTGGATACAAGTCCGTTTTCAAGGTCTGATGTTTCATCCACGTTGGGAATTCTCTCTGTTTATTCAGTTTTATTTTCTCACTTATTAGCATCACATTACAGCTTATACATTTTTGTTTATTCACCCATATATATGTTTTAAGAGAAGAAATATTTTTGTTTCATTAATTGGAGACAAGATAGTAAAGTGACTTCCCTTCAGGAAGCAAGTGAATCATGGAGAAAACAATTTTATCTGAGGTCTCCTGATTATCCGAACATTAGACTCATCAGACAGAAAAGAATGAAGATTAATATTTTCTTCTGTCTTCTAGCATTTAATTTCTCCCAAATAGGTCAATTAATGTAAGGAGCACTTTTTACATTCGTTCTGCATTAACATTGAGTTCGATACAAAGATGAGTAAGTTGTCCTTGGTTGCTGTTTTGAAATACATGCTACTATAAATGTATGCAAAGTTTGGGGCTTGTAGGACTGCTTGATTGGTGTGATACTATTTATTCTCTAGCTGAAAATTATAAATCTATGTTTGGGACTGTGTAACAAATTATACATACTCAGAAAATTCAGAGACATTTTTAGGGGTGAGTAAAACTATAAAAGGGGAGTGAGATGAGTTTTCTTGTAAAGTAACATCTTGATTAGTATAAAGTCACATACAAAACTAAGAAAAGGCAGAGTGGTGTGATACGCTAAGAAAGATACCGGTAGCCCGGCCAGTGTGGCTCAGTGGTTGGGCGTTAACCCATGCACCAGGAGGTCACCAGTTCAATTCCCGGTCAGGGCACATGCCCAGGTTGTGGGCCAAATCCCCAGTAAGGGACATGTAGGAGGTGGCCAATTGATATTCTTGCTCATCGATGTTTCTAGTTCTCTCTCCCTCTCCCTTCCTCTATCTCTATGAAGAAAAAAAATATATATAAATAAATAAATAAATAAATAGAAGAAAGATACAGGTAGAGTGTAGACAGATGTAAGAGGGATCACTGGCTGGGGATAAGGGAAAGCATCTTGGAAAAGGAGGCATTTAAACTAGGTTTTGAAGGCTAGAAAGTATTTAATGCATGTGACAGAATTAATCTGTCTTTTGTTATTAGAGTGGAGGGACCAATACAAAGTTTTGTGAAGTTCATGGACAAATTATATAGGGTTGTAATTTGCTAACTTTTTATTCAAAGAAGGTTATGTGGTTTTGTTTTTAATTAGTCTTTTGGTTTTAGAAATGACGATAATTAGGGAAGCTGAGGCAGCTATGGAAGTTGAACTTTGGAGCATGAAGAGAAGCTGAGCATTGCTGCCTGGTGGATCAGTTGTTTCTCTGTTGGTTTAACTGCAGTGATCCTACAGTTATGTTAATATAATAATAGGTTAAAACAAAGTTGAACAAAAGTGAATAGGACATAAATTTTAGTATCAAATATTAAAAATATTACTGCATAAAAATGGGCAGAATCCTGTTGAGTACTTCAGCGCAAAATAGAGGGCTTATGTTTAACTGCTCTATATTCTATATTTATGTGGTTGTTTTTACTGCAGTTCATTCTGAGTAGTTGTAGCTCATTGATAATACAATTTTAACATGTAAGGAAATATATGCTTGTAAGTTTTATGTCAATTTGAATTGTTTCTTTTTTCCCCCAGGTTCCACATCCATCTTTATAATCAAGATAGCCTCATTGCTTGTGTTCTACCATACCATGAGACAAGAATATTTGTGCGGGTTATACAGCTTCTAAAAATTAATAATTCAAAGCACAAATGGTTCTGGTTGTTGCCAGTTAAGGTATGACTGTTGAATGATACATATCTGTGATCATTACCAATCTTAATTAAGAGATGTAGTTTGGAAGAAATCAAATCATTAGTCCTAGTATTACCTCCATCACTTTTATTTCCTCACTTCGAGTTTGTTTGTTTATTTTTTTGTTCGTGCACCTAGCGGGAACCGAACCCAGGACTCTCTGGTCTGCAGGCCGACGCTCCAACCGCTGAGCCAAACCGGCCAGGGCTCCTCACTTCCAGTTTAAACTACTTGGACTGCCTGCTGGCTTTTATTTATACCTGATACAGGTTAGGCAGTTTACATATAGGGTGTGGCAGAAGTAGGTTTACAGTTGTGAGTATAAGAAACACAAAGTTTCTTTTTAATAATTTTTTTTAAAATATGGTTTTTTTTGTTTGTTCGTTTTGTTTTTTAAGGGAGAAAGAGATAGAAACATCCATTGGCAACCTCCTGCACGCCCCTACTGGGGATCAAGCCTGCAACCTGGGCATGTGCCCTGACCGGGAATCGAACCGGGACCTCTCAGTCCATGGGCCGACACTCAACCTACTGAGCCACACCGACCGGGCCCGAGTTTATTCTTGTATTATTTATTTATTTATTATTGTATTTTCTATACAAACAACTGTAAGCCTACTTTTGCCCCACCCTGTATATTATCTTGGGTTTTCACAAAACTGCATTTTTACAGATGAGGACAGGCTCAAAATTAAGTTACTTGCCAGAGCTGACATAACTATAAAGTGGGAGAATTGGGATTTGAATCCAAAGCTGATTTTAAAGCTTATGTCTTTCCACTATGTATACTGTCTGGTATTTTAAATTTTGGAACTGAAGAGCTTTAAAAAAGTTGGAAGTGAAGGAAAGGAAATACTTAACAAAAATAAAAAGGATAAGAAAAATTTGAAGGACTTCAAAAAAATTATTAAAGTTGTAAGGGAAAGAAACATCAATCACTTACCTCCCATACATGCCCTGACTATGGATTGAACCCGAAACCTAATATGTGCCATGACTGGAAATGGAGCCCACAACCATTTTTGGTATACAGGACGATGCTCCAACTGAGCTACACTGACCAGGACAGAAATGGGAGTTTTTAAGTAGGAGAGTTTGAGTTTGGTTGTAAAGCACTTGAACTGAAGAATGTTCAATAAGAGAAGGCCAGCGTATGCTAAAGCTTTTTATCAAACTACTCAGCATTCATACTGCTAATATCAAGATTATTTTTTTCCCCTCGTCTGCACACACACCCTGCTGCTCTCTGGGCATATTTGTTTCAGGTATCCAGACCCCACTCACCTATTAAAGTTTACTTCAGATTCTCCTTTCTTTGATATTTCAATATGTACCATGCACATTGCTAGGTGGTGGGAATAGCAATATAAGTTGGCCAGGTTCCTAGAGTTAAATTTATTACTAGAGTTATTGTAAAGCAGTGACAAAACCATATCTCGTTGGCTCAAAAACCAAATCTAGCCAGTAGTGTTACTAAGTATCTAGAGAATTCACGTTTAGATTAATATGTGTGAAGATACTACATGTGATAAGTAAGTAGGCATTTTTGGCTGCATACCTCTATCTTCACTGCTAACATTCTCTTTTGAATTTCTAAGGTTTGAACAATATTAGGTATTAATCTCATCTCTCCACCAGCTGTTGGGAGACACTATATTTTGTATTTACGAACTGCAACAATATAGAGCTGCTGCTATGGTGGGTACTTAAGCCCTGGCTAGTGTGGCTCAGTTGGTTGGAACATCATCCCGTGCACCAGTTGTGGGTTCAATTCCTGGTCAGGATGCATACCCAGGTTGCAGTTTAATCCCCAATTGTCATGTAAATCAATATAAACATATCCTCAGGTAAGGATTAAAAGTAATGACCAGTCAGTGACTATCCTTTCTGTCTGACAGCAATCTGGAGTGCCCTTAGCTAAAGGAACTTTGATTACCCACTGCTACAAAGATCTTGGATTCATGGATTTCATTTGTAGTCTGGTAACAAAGTCTGTGAAGGTGAGTAGTGTATTGTTTCATGAATGTGTAATTTCATTAGATTGCTTGCTCTCAATGGAGAGAACGTACTGAGGCCTTTCTAATACAGTGGTAGTTGGAGGAGGTTCCTGTTAATGACCTCCTGTTAGCATGAGCAGTGGGGTCAGTCTTTCCTTAATGTTTTTTCTACTAAAATGAATTACTCCTTGCCAAGTTCTGTTTATAATGATTGTTTAAACAGTTTAAAGAGAGAGTCTAAAATGTCAGGAAGATTGTTCAGTCATCTTTGAATTTGTGTATTTATTTAATGTTGCAGATGATAAAAATTAAAATGTCAGCCTGAGGTGATTGAGGAGAGCAGTAAATGTTTTTATACTTTTATTAATTGGCTTTTCACTCCTTAAATGTGTTTTGTTTTTAAATATGTTTTTTATTGCTTTTCAGAGAGAGGAAGGGAGAGAGAGAGAGAAACATGATGTGGGAGAGATACATTGATTGGCTGCCTCCTGCACGCCCCCTGCTGGAGATTGAGCCTGCAACCCAGGCATGTGCCCTGACCGGGAATTGAAACCGGGACTGAGCCACACCAGCAGTCCTTAAATGTGTTTTGTTTGTGTTTTTGTTCCAGGTTTTTGCTGAGTATCCTGGGAGTTCAGCTCAGTTGAGAGTTCTCTTAACTTTTTATGCTTCTACCATCGTATCTGCTTTGGTAACTGCTAAGGACATGTCGGACAATGTGGTTGCTAAGCTATTTCCATATATCCAAAAGGTTGGCCCTGCTCAAGTGTATAGTAGATCATTTTGTACTTGAAGGAATGTTCTTGCTTTTAGACATAGATATTCTAAAATTGACAATTTCAGATAGTGAGAGATAATTTTTAGGTAAAAAGTATGACTTTATTTGTCTTAAAAACTTATCAGAATGGGATTAAAATAAAAATAAAAAAATATATATATATGTTTTTAAAATTGATTTTAGAGAGAGATTAAGGGAGAGGGAAAGAGAAAGAGAATCATCAATGTGAGAGAGAAATAATTGGCTGCCTCCATGCCCCCTACTGGGAATTGAGCCTGAAATCCGGGTATGTGCCCTGACAAATTCAAACCGGTGACTTTTTGGTGCATGGGAATATACTCAATGAACTGAGCCACACTGGCCAGGGCCCAGCGTAGAATCTTAATTGGGGTTTCTTAAAGAATAAATGTTGGCTATTAGGCCTTGCCACTATCTCCCAGATATATATGTTTTGTCCTTTTTTTTTTTTTTTCTTAGCATAAAACAACAGAAATTCTCAAAGTTCTGGAGGTTACAAGTCTGAAAGCAAGGTGTTGGCAGGGTTGGTTCCTTCTGGGGTCTCTGAGGGAGATTCCAGGCCTCTTAGCTTCCAGTGTTGCTGGCAACCCTTGACACTGCCTGCCTTGGGGTAGCATAGCTCCAGTTTCTGCCCATCTTCGCATGGTGGTCTTCCTTCCCATATCCCTTTCTTAGTAGTCATGCTACCTCACTGGAAAGAGAATGGATTAGAGATCTTTAAGGCACAGGCTCTCATCATTCTTTTTGCACTGACTTCTACTTCTCAGTGCTTCTTCCCATTTGCCTTGGTGCTTGCCACCTTCCCAGATCCCCACGGAGGTACTGCTTTCACTTCCCACCAGTGTCCCACGACGGTTGTCCTCACTCAGACTCTGTTTGTTTCAATGGAAGGCTCCCTTACACAGGTGGGAATTTTCATGTAAAAGAAGAGAGCTCCTTAGTTCCTGTTCGGATGTGTGGCGGATGTTAGAGGGGGAGATCCTTGGATATCCCTCCTCTCGTTTGTCAAGAGACTTGTTTCTTCTGTATGTCCACCCAGGGGGTCAGCATCTCTATTTTTCACTTCTGAGGAGTGTGCACTAGGTAGTATTAGTCTTTAGATTATGGCATTTTAAGTAGAATAAAGTAACATAGTTTATTTTTTTTCCTTATATTTTAAAAAATGTTTAGGGATTGAAATCATCTTTACCAGATTACAGAGCTGCAACATATATGATAATATGTCAGATTTCTGTGAATGTGACAATGGAAGACACCATCGTCAATTCATTGGCTTCACAGATCATCAAAACATTGACTAAAACTCCCTCTTTGATCAAGGACGGATTAGGTTGCTTGATAGTGCTCCTGCAGAGACAGAAGCCAGAGAACCTTGGGAAAAAGTATGTATAATTGAATTGAGAAATCTTAATTAGAGATGAATGAAATTATTTTGAATAATTTTTTGGAAGATAAATTGCCATTTATTGTGTAACTTGTAAAGTCAACATCTTACGTACTTGCTTCTTCAAAGGCCATTTCCTCACTTGTGTAATGTTCCTGATCTTGTTACAATACTTCATGGGATTTCAGAAACATATGACATCAGTCCTCTTCTGCGTTACATGCTTCCCCATCTGGTCGTCTTCATCATTAGTCATGTTACAGGTACCTGGTTTAACATTTTATGTCCCAAAACTTGCTTTCTAATATGTGATTATCTTAAAATAGGGACCATACCCTGTTCATATCTTTAGGATACTTAAAGTTTTTGCTAACCAATTGTTTTTGTGTGATTTGTCTATTTTCTTCAGTGAATATTTGAAGTAGAGAGCATAGAATTCTTGATACGCTTAGAATTCTATTTTTGAATAAACGTATGTTCTTAAACAGTCTCTATAGGGAAGGCTCTGGAATTACTTTTAAACAATTAAAATATGTTACCAAGTATAACTTTCCCTTTCTCTTTTTTATCCTCACCCGAGGACATTTTTCCATTTTTTTGTTCAGGTAGAGTGGGAGGGGAGAGAGGAACAGAGAGAGAGAGAGAAACATCGATGTGAAAGGAACACATCGAGTGGCTGCCACCTGCACAACCGACCAGGGCCGGGGACAAACTACAACCGTAGCGGGAACCGAACCCGAGTCTCTCAGGACCGCAGGCCGACGCTCTATCCGCTGAGCCAAACCGGCCAGGGCTAACTTTCCCTTTTTATATTTAGATACTTAATGAATTTTAGTGTTTTATTTACAATAAATATCCAGTTGCCAACAAAAGAATTTTTCTCCCTTGAGTCATTGAAAATATAAGACCAAGAAAATATCATGCATAAAAATCCAAAATTTTTTTTAATCCAAAACTAATTAGAAAGTGATGACTTGCATTACATGTTTTTTACTCTTTAATAAATACAGAAAGATAAAGGAGAAAAACTTGGTCCTATTGCTACTTGGACTAAGAAAGACATACTAATAAAGACATCTCCAAATATATGTCAGTCTTTTAGAAAATAAGGTTTGCGTAACCAAATCTTCGTTTAAATATGTTTCAGACACATGACTAGTATAAATGAAAGTGCATTTTCCCTATTCTGATGGTAATGAGCAGTGTGATCCCAGTCTTTGAAGGCAGGGCCAAGTTCTGGTTCATACATTTACAGTGAATCTGAAATAGAAGGTGACAGCTCTTGGTTCAGTAAGGAGTTATTGGACAAACGTTTAGCCTGTTTTCAGAGATATAGTTGTCTCCCCTTTGGCATTCCATGGTTTTAGTTCAGCGGTTCTCAACCTGTGTGTCGTGACCCCTTTGGGGGTCGAACGACCTTTTCACAGGGATCGCCTAAAACATAGCAGTAGCAAAATTACAGTTAAGGAGTAGCAATGAAAATAATTTTGTGGTTGGGGGGGTCACCACAACATGAGGAACTGTATTAAAGGGTCACGGCATTAGGAAAGTTGAGAACCACTATTTTAGTTACTTGTGATCAACTATGGTTGGAAAATATTAAATGGAAAATTCCAGAAACTAAGTACTTCATGAGTTTAAAGTTGTGTGTTGTTCTGAGCAGCGTAATGAAATCTTGCTCTGTCCCTCTCAGGACGTGACTCATTCCTTTGTCCAGTGTCTCTATGCTGTAAACACTTACCCACCTGTTAGTCATTTAGCAACGTCTTGGTGTTCAGGTCAGCTGTCTCGGTATCACAGTGCTAGTGTTCAAGTCACCCTTACTTCACTCAGTGATGGCCGAAAAGTGTAAGAATAGTGATGCCGGGAATTCAGATCTATCAAAGAGAAGCCAAAAAGTGCTTTCCTTTTAGTGAAAAGGTGAAAGTTCTTGACTCAATAAGGCATTTTATTATCATCTCACATCATCACAAAAAGAAGGGTAAGTATAGCACAATGAGATATTTTGAGAGAGAGAGAAAGACCACATTTACATAACTTATTATTGTATATCGTTATAGTTACTTTATTAGTTATTGTTGTTAATCTCTTTCTGTGCCTAACTTATAAATTAATTTTACCATATGTATGTATGTACAGGAAAAAACACAGTATATATAGTGTTTGTTACCACTCAAGGTTTCAGGCATCCACTGGGGGTCTTCAGACGTCATCCTCATGGATAAGAGGGGGACGACTGTAGTTTAAGGAGACCTAGGTTCATATCCAAACTTCAACTACTTGTAATATGACCTGGGGAAAGACTATTTTCTGGATTTATGTTTCATTAATAAAGTAGGGATCATCATACTTGTTTTTAAAAATACAGAGAATTTCAGGTAAAGGATAAATGAGGGTAATAACATGCAAAAATGCTTTGAAAAATATAAATGATTAAATAGGTAAAAGATAGTTTTGAAAATGGGTTTTAAAAAATCACATTTTAGTATATATGTTTTAGAATTATTCCCAGGAAAGATCTGCTATAAGTAAATTTAATAGTGTAAGCATGCAAAAATTATTTCCCTAATCAATTTTAATTTGTTGTATATACTAAGGAGAAGGAACTGAAGGGATGGATGGTCAAATCTACAGGAAACACTTGGAGGCTATACTTACACATATATCACTGAGGAACAACTTAGACCATTTGTTGGCTAGGTAAGTGATTATTTTTGTTGTTAATCCTCACCCGAGGATATTTTTCAATTGATTTTTAGAGAGAGTAGACGGGAAGGGTGGGAGGGAGAGAGAGATAGAGACAGAGAAAGAGAAACATTAATGTGAGAGAGACACATCATCAGTTGGTTGCCTCCTGCATGACTCAGAAGGGGGCCGGGATTGAACCTGCAGCCCAGGTATGTTGCCCGTGACTGAGAATGGAACCCACTGAGCCTTCGGTTCATAGGCCAAACTGGCCAGAATGTAAGCAACTATTTTTAACATGATTTTGATTTGTATTTTTGGGTTGATTAGTACTTTTCCAGTATCCCTTTGTAATGTGTTTCTTGCTTTGTCCATATCATTTCATTAATTGTAAGTACTTAGTCCAGTAATTGTGACAACAGAAAAAGTAATTTTTCTTGCTTGTCTTTAGTGCTTATACTTATCATGGAAAGTTAGTTAAGCTAAAATTGGCTTATAGCCTCATGTAAATTATGGCTGTTTAGTTTCCTGATAATAAATGGACCAAAATACTTGAAACAATATAACACAGTTGATATTCAGTAAATATCAACGAGCTTTATATTGAGGATTGGCATCAAGTGAAGGTTATTTCTTCCTTTTCTGTAAAAATAGTCGTCTCCCATTTTCTTTTCTTGCTTAAAGGGCAACTTGATACAGTGCAAAGAATGTAGGCATTGCAGTTAGACGTGGACTTGAATCCTGCCTCTGTCATTTCCAGGAGAGTAGAGTAGGAAGTTCTGAAGGCCAAGCTGCCTGAGACACTGGGGGTTGCCCGTTTGCTGGTGTGTCATTATTTGTGCCTCTTATTCCAGAGTTGACTTGTGAATGAAAGAGAAGTATATTTGTGAAGTAGTTGAGAGCTTGGGCTCTGGAATCAGACCGAGGCTAAAAACCCTGCTCGTCTTTGTATAGGGGACTCACCAGTGCAGTGGCTGTTTCTGGTCTCATTTGATCTCAGATAGATTATAAGACTTCTTAGCTCTAGTGCTGTATCTGCAAAATAAGTATAACTTGAGGGATGTGGGAGTTAGAGATAATATTTCTAAACCACCTAGATCATGATAGGTACTCAATAAACAGTACCTCTGATGTCTCATACTGGTTTTGTTTTACAGCCTTCTTTTTGAAGAGTATATTTCATATAGTTCACAGGAAGAAATCGATCCTAATAAAGTATCTTTGCTTAATGAACAGTTTCTTCCACTTATCAGACTTTTAGAAAGCAAGTAAGTCGTGTGTGTGTTTGTGTCTCGTTTTGTTAATGTGTACTTCTTGTTTCAATTTAATGTAGTAAATGGATTGTAAGAGATAGTCCCTTTTTTCCCTTCAGGAAGGGACAGGTATAGAATTTAAATATATTTGAAATATAAGAGGGATTAGGGGTTGTGTGGAGGCTGTGGAGAGTGTAATTTTTCATACAGAGACTTTTTTTGTTGTAAGTCATAGTAGTGAACTTGATCGATATCACTTGGTTTTACATATTTCATCTGTTAAAATTTTAGTTTCAGTCTCAGTAATTTTTAAAATTTATTTATTTTATATATGTAGGGGGTGTGTGGTTAATAACTTTGAATAATTTTTTATATGAATTAACTCCTAATTTCTTCCCAGATATCCTAGGACATTAGATGTTGTCTTAGAGGAACACCTGAAGCAAATCACAGACCCAGGGAAACAGGAGCTTTTCCACCAGTTTCTCTCTCTCTCTGCAAGTGGAGGAAAGTATCAGGTATGTTTCCTTCAGAGGAGTTAAGACAATTTGGGGTGTGTTTGTGTGGTTATTTGAACAACACTGGAAGGAAATTTGTTAACTTTACTGCTCTCTTTGGAGTATCTTATGAAGAGATGAGATTTTACACCATTTTGCCTAGTTACCTAAGACAAGGCTGTGAGACAGGCATTAAATACCTGGAAAAAAGTACAGGACTTTAACTGTGAGTAGGGTACTTATTTCAGGAAAAATATTGTTTGGAATATATGTTAATTAGCAGTCAGCAAAAGGTGGCCTTTCTCGGGTCTGTAGTGTCCCCACCTTTCTCCTCTGTCTGCATTTCTAGCGTGGTGCAACCACGGGGTGATAAGTCATTGATCAGAAAAAAGGAGGTGGATTTTTATTCTGTGATCATTTTAGAACTTCAGAAAATTTCTGGTGATTCACACTAAGTCTTTATACTAGAAGTTAACATTTAAGTAGTTCTTATAATTATCCTTGAAAATAAATATTATCAAGAGAAATATGATCATTGGTTTTTCTCTTTCATGATTAGACTCATATCATTAATGGTGTTTCATTTCCAAATCTTAGCTTGACATAGATTTCCTTAGTCTAGTTACATTAAGTGAAGTAGGTTGTTACTCATTTGAGTGTCACTATTGTATCATTTAGAGGAATTGCATCCGTTTTCAGTGACTAGTTTTTTAAATTTAATTTTTATTAAGGTGCTGATATAGTGATTTACTTCAGGTACTTTTCACTTTGGAATCATATATAGAAAGTATAGAAAATTACTTCATAGGATTACTAAATTAAACTATAGACATACATATACAGGAAATCATAGCATTAACAATACACTTTCATCTGTTATAATTCATACTATGTTCTAAAGACAGATTTTGCTTTACTTTTTGGTTTCAGAAATTAGATAGTTGTTACTGTGTTGGGCAGTTTGGGGTGGCTTCCTCTGGTTTTTATTCTTGATCATATGCTGCCTAGATTTAGTGGTCAAATTTGTTAATTATGATGAATCCTATAGTTTTTAGCAGATTCTGATACTTCCTTGATGCTCAGTCTGAATCATCCACTTGCCCCTGTGAGACTTCTGGCCGTTAATCATCTGAAAAATATTGTGAAAACATCAAAGGTTTGTGTCAAATAGCTTTCATTTGTGATGTTTTTGTACTTATGATGAACAGTATAATTCTAGAAGAAGAACTTGGAAGTTATCACCTAGAATCAATATTGTGTAATGATAGACATAAGCTGAGTAAAGCAGATGAGAGTGCATGGGACAAAGTTTTAGGACTGGACCTGCTCTCGCCACCATTGTGACCTTTATATGCCCTAGTAACAACTGTTTTCATGCTTCCACATTGCAGCTTATTAGTTTATTTGTAGTTCAGTGTTTTTCAAACTGAAATTTATAGATCAATTTATAGAGGTTCTCAAATTATCTGAGAATTTTTTTAGTTTTGAAATTTGATTTTGATTGAAGTTTAACATGTGCATATTTGGGGACACCAGTATGATAGCATTTGGAGCACTGTTCCACATCAGTACTTGCAGTTGTATTTGTGTTTAAAATTCTGGTGGCTGCCCTGGCCGGTTAGGCTCAGCGTTAGAGTGTTGGCCCGTGGACCAGTGAGTTGAGGGTGTCGGTCAAGGGCACGTACCTTGGTTGTACTTCCCTGCCCCTGGTCGGGTCATGTGGGAGGCAATCAGTCGATGCGGCTCTATCACATCGATGTTTCTCTCTCTCTCTCTCTCTCTTTCTCTTCCTCACTCCCACTCTGTCTAATGATAAATAGAAAAATATCCTCAGGCGAGGAATAAAAAAAATATAAAATTCTGGTGGCTCCAAATAGTAACCACAGAGGCTGACTTAATTTGTAAATTCTGCCTGTATACCAAAATGATACTTTACTAAGACTTTGAATTCAAATAGAGCATGATTTTCCTAATTTGAGTTATTCAAGCAGTGTCTTCACAATTTTTGCTATAGTAGCTTAGCACTGATATTATTTACTTAATATTTTTCTTTAGCTTCATTTAAATGGACTAATTTTTTTTTGCATAGTCTTCAAATCATGGATTTGAAGTGCCAATTGTATATACATTTTACCATAGTTACTATGATTAAAATATAATATCTGTATAATATTTAAGATTGTCTCATGTATTACTTTTTATGTATTTGAAAATAGAGAGAAGTGGTAGCAGTTTATACTTTTCCATAGTGCATGGTAGTACAGACATGCTGAATTCTAGAACTGGTGTCATGCACTTAAAACCAATTCATATTACAAGTAGAACTTAGTTTCAGCTAATTATAATTACCACATTAAATTTTCTTAATTTGAATTTTACTAGTTTTGTAGTTTTTAAATATTTGACTTATACATTTTTGTTTTATATTTTTGTTTTCTATATTTTTAAGGAGTCGTACTTAGCTTTAGAATTGATATGTAAATAATAAAAGCAACATTAGGATCTGTAAGAATATTTCTTTAAAAATTGTAGATCTGTGTGTACTCAAATTTGAAATTTACATGATTTCCGATCTGGTATAAATTATATTTCTTTTTCGAACTGCTGATCAGTTTGTCTTATGATTTGTTGGAGGATTACACTCACTGAATATTGGTCTTTGTTGTAATAGGAAGATTCCTAGAGACTCCTAGCATTTCTGCAGCGCTTCTCATCATTCGTCCTTCCCCCTCCCCGCTGGTTAGTTTTTCAGTGAAGGGCACTGCACATTCAGCTCCAGGCTGCAGTGTTGTAGGTTTTCTTCTAGAATTTCAGTTTGGGATATTTGGCTATTTGTTAGCTCTTGATAAAATTTTGGTGGCATTTGATACATGAAACTTTGACTTCAGTTTTGTGAATTCTAGGGATTTTTAATTAAATCTCCCAACAGAGTGACCTTTTTTTTTTTTTGTAGGATTATTTAGTTGTTTTTCTACCACCTCTAGGTGTGAATATGTTCATGTTGATTAGCAGTCTTATTTTTCTGTTATTGTGAATGGTTATATGCTTTATTTTTTGTTACTGAAAAAAAAATAAGATCTCTCTCTTTTTTTTTTTATCTTCACCTGAGGACATTTTTCCATTTTTTGTACAGATAGAGCGGAAGGGAGAGAGAGTAAGAGAGAGAGAGAGAGAGAAACATCGACGTGAAAGGGACACATCGAGTGGCTGCCACCCGCACGACCAACCAGGGCCCTGGACAAACTGCAGCCAAAGTACATGCCCTTAGCGGGAACCAAACCCAGGTCTCTCCAGACCGCGGGCCGACGCTCTAACCGCAGAGCCAAACCGGCCAGGGCTCTCTCTTTTTTTAACAGACTGGCTTTGCAGTGCATGTCCTTTTCCTTGTAAAAATATTGATAATAATAGCTATGTTTAACAGTACTTACTATGTATAAGGCACTCTTCTAAGCACTGATATGTATTATTAAATCCTGTACCACCCTTTAAGGTAGGTATTATTACTAGTTCTATTTTATAGATGAGAATAGTGAGACCTAGAAGGGTTAAGTAACTGACCCAAGGACACACTAGAAAGTGGTAGAGCTAGGATTGAAACCTAGGCATTCTTGAGTCTGTGTGCTCTCATTTTAATATGATCAACTCTTTAACACAAAATTTATATTTAGATTATACATGTTGTGTTTTCAACGGAGATTGGAAAAGATGTGTACTAAACACTCATCTGAGAAGGCCCTTCAGAGGTCGTCTTGTTTAATACGAGTGTGCCTAGAGTGTCGAATTTGCAACCAGGGCAGAGCCTGTGTTCCTTGAATGGTGTTCTGGAGTGTTTTTCACAAAACCAAGCTTCCCTTCTAGTGGAAAGTCTTACAAGGTTTTAGCAACAACTAAATATTTTTTTTCTTGCTCAGGAGAATATCGATGAGTCTTTCATAAAAGAAGCTATTTTAACCCGATTAGGTGATGATAATATAGATGTTGTTTTGTCGGCTGTAAGTGCTTTTGAGGTGAGTGAATTTGTTGTTCATTGAAATAGACATTTTTTGGTAAATATTTTCCTGCCCTGCTCTAGGCAGGAATATATTTGAAAATTATTCTTTCACTGGAAATTATTCTCATGAGAGCACAGTTGTAAGCCTGGTTGGGGAAAGCTCATGGGAGTAATTAGATTGTGTGATTTCATGCACATGGAAGTTCTTCCTAAGGGAAAGTACTTGGTGAATTTTACCTTGGGGTCATGGGAAATTGGTTCATATATACCACTTTTGAGAAATTGCTTTTATAAAACTTATAAATTGTACTAAGATTCTTGGGAGGTAGATTCATTTTAAAGTTCATTTAACAAGCACTGTATACATTTGAAGCAAGTAAAAGTTAACTCAGGATATTTCTTTCTCCTCTAGATTTTTAAGAGACACTTTAGTCCAGAAGTGACTGTTTCACATCTTCTGAATCTCTTTCAAAGACCAGACCTTTCAAAAAATAGGGCATGGTATGTATTCATTTCTCCTCATACTGTTTGGAATTGGTGAAATTTTTATATCAAATTCATTTTTTTTTTCTTTTTCTTTTTATATTTTTTGCAACTTATAATTAAGCTACGTGACACTTTGGTCATGGTAATGAAATGGGTCTTAATGTAGCATTTTTGCATTATAAAAATCCATTTGGATTTGTGTGGTTTCATTATACTATTCTCAAATTTTTTTTAATAAATTAGGAAAAGGAGAAAATAATGTATGATATGCTGAAATCTGGAAAGTAGTATGGGAAGGAGTTTTCATTTTCTATAAATATGTTTGGGGCTTTTTTTACAAGGATAATATTTATAATTTAAAAACATATTAACACATAAACAAGCTCAGGCACATGACACTTCTGTAGTACATATTTGATGAGCTCTGGTTATTTCTTTTTGGCACCTATGCTTTTTGCATGGAAAAATCACTAAGCTCCTTAGACAAACAGCATTTTTGTATTTGTCATATTTACTTTTTAGCACATAGTATGTGTCCAGATAATTTTTGAACTTATGAGTGAGTTTCTGATTTCTAGTGGAGTTAAGATATATGGTGGATGAGTTTTATGTTATAGTTAACCTAATGTGACTTCTCAAAAAAAGACATTTGACTGAATTAGTAGTTTAAAATTACTGTCCCAAATAATTCCTTTATTAGCATAGATTTTAAGTGATTATCTTGGTGTGTCTGAATAATGTATTTGATGAGGAGACCAGGCTGTAATGATAATTTTTTGCTGAGTCAAAGTCTCTAAAGTGTCTCTGAACCAAATGTACGTTTATATGTTTTAGGTATGAGGTACTTGAGGTGGCAGCAAACATATTAATTAAAGAAGAAATGCTGAGTGGAAATGATGAGTTAGCAAATCAGGTAGTGGTGCGACTGCTTCCGTTCATGGTCATTGACAGTGACAATCTGGAGTCTGCCGATATGAAATTCGCTCTTTATTTATCCAAATCAGGAATTTGCTCTCTGCACCCTATACTAAGAGGCTGGAAAGAAGGTGAGAAATTCAGTTGTTTGTTTGTTTTTTAGAAAAAATGAACAGGTAACACTTTATTTTATTTATTTTTTATCTTTACTCGAGGACATTTTTGCATTTATCTTTAGGTAGAGCGGGAGGGAGAGAGGAAGGAAGAGAGAGAAAGAAACATGACGTGAGAGAGACACATTGACTGGTTGCCACCCACACAACCGCACCCGGGGCCAGGGACAAACTGCAACCGAGGTATGTGCCCCTAGCAGGAACTGAACCTGGGACTGACTCTCTGGTCCGCAGGCTGACGTTCTAACCACTGAGCAAAACCGGCCAGGGTGAACAGGGAACACTTTAAAAAGAAAATAAGTAAAATTAAAAATTGGCCATGCTTGTGATTTGAAATCATGTTTGTGGTATATGCCAACAAGATTTAAAATTTTTTTGCTAATGTAAAATATATACAATGAGAAAGAAACTGACCCACAAATTCAGAATTGGATAGAAGGAAAAATAAAAAGCAAACCCTTACAGGAAAATTGTAAATTTTTTGCTTAAATCCCTTGCTTTATATGATTCTTTAGGTCAGTGTTGTTGAAATGAGGGCCCTGTGTTTAATTTTTACAGCTCTTGAAAATGTGATTAAAAGCACAAAGTCAGGCAGACTAATTGGTGTAGCAAATCAGAAGATGATTGAGTTGTTGGCTGATAATATACATTCAGGGGATCCTTCTTCAATGTTAAAAATGGTAGGTATGCTGTTGAGGTCTAACCCCCAGATTTCCTTATGATCTTACTAGATTCTCAGTGTTTGCTCTACTAGATCCTTCTTCTTTTTTCTTATTAATAACTGTTGCATTCTTGACTACTATGTTTTGCTTTAAATATATATAGTATTGTATATTCTTCAGATTGTTGAAATCCTTAACATTTTATACAATTTATTTTATTGTGGTTTTATATTGGGTCAGTAAGATTAATGTGTACTTCTTACCTCCCCCCCCCCATTTAAAATGTTAAAGTTAGTGTTTTGTTAAAATAGCAAAATATCTAAAGGAGGAGAAAATTTCTTTTGCTGTAGTAAATACACTTTTATAAGGTATTGGGTTTGTGATTTAAAAACACTTACCCAATTGGCAAGTACAGTTAAATTCATTATGATTTCTGAAATTACTAATTTTTATAATCACTTAAAAATCAGTGCTTACTACTTTTTTAAGGCTTTATATTTATCATCTTACTTGAAATGTAAAACACATAATACCTAGATAGGCCCGAGGTAGAGAAAATTGTTTGGTGCAAACCAAGAGATACCAGTAATGGATGTCTATTTTTCTAGGTGGAGGATTTAATCAGTGTTGGGGAAAAAGAGTCCTTTAGTCTGAAGCAGAAAGTGACATTTCACGTGATCATGGCCGTGCTTATCTCTTGCTGTTCGTCTTTAAAAGGAACTCACTTTCCATTTGCGATAAGAGTCTTCAGTTTGTTACAGAAAAAAATAAAGAAGCTTGAACGTGTCATCACTGCAGTGGTAAGAAGTGTGTAGTCCCTGGGAAGCTGACTGATGAGTCAGGTGAACAGGCTGCCTGTCAGGGCAGAGCTGGCAGTCGGAGCCGAGGTCCTGGGTGTTTGGGTCTGGAGTAGAGGTGAAGCAGCTTTGGGGGCAGTGGAGAGTGAATCAGGTGCTCTCTTCCTTTTGCAGAAAAGTAATCAAGTTGTAGAATTTCAGGTTGCAGTGTATCTTTACCTAGTACTGCATCTTCAGTGATAAGATTACTTCTCTTAATATCTACCATATATAATTGTTTATTTGTTAATCCTCACCCGAGGATATTTTTTCTATTGATTCTTAGTGTGGGTGGGTGGGTAGGGGAGAGGGAGAAAGAGAGAGAGAGAGTGAGAGAGACATATCAATCAGTTGCCTCCTACATGTGCCCTGACTGGGGTCGAGAGTGGACCCTGCAACCCAGGTATGGGCCCTGACTGGGAATCGAACCCAAGACCCTTTGGTGCACCCACAGACACTCTAACCTCTAAGCCCCACCAGGCAGGACTATAATAGTATTTTTTATTTGTCCTCCAAACTTCAGAGGGCTCCTCATAAGATTTACTTAAATCACATCTTTTTTGCAATAACATATACCCTCATGATTTTATAAATTCCATTCATGGCCATTGATAGTTCAAGTTATGTAAACTTTAAAGGAAAAAATCTTCATATTTTAAAAAGCAGCCCAGACAGGCCCTTTTTAATTTATTTGTTATCTTTTGTAAAAGTGCTGTAACTTGAACTGTATTTGTTCTCAGTGTTAAAAATGTGGACAAATTGAGTGTTTTATATATGTGTAGGTATAAGTGGTTTTATATTTAATCCCCTTCACGAGCATCTTTCTGGCTGTGGCTGCATATTGAGCCAAGAACTCGCTCGCTAAAGATGGTATCTTGTAAGTCTAGCTTTGGACTATTTATCTTCTAAGTTATTACTCTGTATACCGTCTCAGTTGTCATTTTTCTACCCCTTTTTTCATGCTTCCTTTTGGTGTTTGCAGTATAATTTCTAAACACCTTAACAGTTTGCTACTTGTTTAGAAACATCTGCAAGGTTGGCGATGTTGTTATGTGCCTTCCTCAGATTAGCTGAAGAAAGTGAAATGAAAAAAGCCCCTTTAAGGATCTCTTGGAAATCCAACTCCTCTTTCTGTTTAGAAATGTGCCATTTGATAAACACAATTTATATGAATAATGTTTGTTTTTAGGGATGGTATTTTAAGAAAACAGATAAAATGAAGCCATGATTAACTTTTGTCTTTTCTTGTTAATAGTATTAGACCTCTTTAAAAATCTGATTAAAGTTATTCTCTCACCTAAATTCACATACAGAGTTTTGCATACTAATCATATACATCATTGTAGTCCACCTATGTAACCCATTTTCGGAACCTCTTTAAATCTTGTGCTATTTTTGTTTCCTTATCATTTCAGGAAGTCCCCTCAGAATGGCATTCTGAGCTGATGATGGACAGGGGCATACCAGTGCAGCTGTGGTCACATTACGTGCAGCAGGTCAGCACTGCCCAGAGGATTGCTGTGGAGGACTCGGTGCTACTCGTGTTTTCGCTGAAAAATTTTATTCATGCGCTAAAGGCTCCTAAATCTTTTCCTAAAGGTAGAACAAGATGTGAATCTTTTGAATGTGATACCCTAGAAAGCTTAATTCTTGGCTCCGTAACTGTTCTTTCTATTGCTTGAAAAGTCCCAGCAGAGTGTTCCCATAAGTCATGTGTCGTCTCTCTTGTCACGTCCATGTAGATGATGTATGGTGGAATCCTGAACCACTGGAAGAAGACAGCAGAGACTACCTGCGCTTGCTCATTGGGCTCTTTGAGGTTATACTCAGTGGTGCTGACACCACGCATTTCAGGGTGCTGATGAAGCTTTTCATAAAGGTACGAGGCTCCTCTTTTTCAGGCATACTCTTCTCTTTCAAGTGTTGCAGATTAGTTTAGTTATGACAGTTTTAAATGAAAATGAAAGTAGACTTTTAAACAATAAAGAACATTTGATGATAAACACAGACCTGTAAAGTAGTGCTATAATCATGACCCCAAGTTAGTAGGTTTAACAGAGAATAACATTGCCTCATGCCTCCTGATGTGTTTGGCCTGTTGATGTGTTAAATCAGACTGCTTGGTTGGTTAATGTAATTACCAAAGAGAAATTGATGTTTGGAGAGGTGATTTAGTATATGCAGGGTTGCTCAGTTGAGAAACTTTGTCACGATGCCAGTGAACTTCATGCTGCCAGGTCCAGTGTCAGTTCTTTGTTCTTGCCTGACTTGCCTTCCCAGCAGCATCTGATACAGCTGACATTCACTCCGTCTTCGAAGTACTTTCTTAATGAGGCTTCGCCAACATCACTCTTGACTCAGTGTTCTGCTTAGTGTATTCGTTTGTTTGTTTGTTAAATGTGTTCAAGTGCAAAGTTATAGGAGTCCTCTGAATTCATTTACATCCCAGTTTGTTAAAATACCAAGTATAGAATAAATTAAAGTGATTAGACAAAATAAAATACTGTAATAAAGTATATGCTTTCTATAATTGTACACTAAGGATAAGGATTTGGAACCAACCTATGTTATATTTAGTAAAGATTAAACTTCACTGTTTTTCTTTGTTTTTTTAAATTTAGGTACATCTAGAAGATGTTTTTCAGTTATTCAAGTTCTTTTCTGTTTTGTGGACCTATGGTTCTAGCCTTTCAAATCCACTGAGCTGCAGTGTGAAGACAGTGCTACAGACTCAAGCTCTGTATGTGGGATGTGCAATGCTGTCCTCCCAGAAGCCCCAGTGTAAAGCCCACCTGGCTTCCATGTCTTCCCCAGGTACTGCCGGAGCATTGTTATGTTGTGTCATGATCAGCGATTACGGCTTTCTCTGTATGTGGCTCATATGGGTTGTAGCTTGGAGAATTTCTTTTTTATAGTTTTTGAAATAGATCAAAACTGTATCTGTTTACTTCTAAGTATTTCTTTTAAGTTATAAATGTCGATTGCAAAATCTCACTAAAACAAATGATAGAAGTGATAGGTGATGAATCATAATATAATTCAGTATTCAACTACTTATAAAATGGGTCTTCACTCAAACAGCCCTCCTGGATTTATTCCTTTTATCCCATATAAGTCATTTTCAGGTTGGGCGCTCACTATGAAACCCCCAAAATAAAATTCATATTTTTGACAAAGTGAAATTGCAAATTTTGCAAAATGAGGTTGAATATTATATTGAAAGTGGGTTGACAGACTTCCAAAGCCACTACCAAATAGGAGGACCTGGCAGAAGTAGACTGTCAGTGATTGAAGAGGAGGAAGTTGATGAAGACGATGGATATGGTTGACACTTCCAACTGGAATAATGTTAATATTAGAGGAATAAGAGTGGCCCTTGGGAAATTTGGAGACATTCATGATTTTTTTTTATTCCAGAATTGCTTTTCACAAATGTTCTGTGAAAGCAACGTGAGTAATCATACACTTTTCCGAGAACAATTTCTCAGTGTTTGTCTTTTTTACTACCTTCTTGGAAGAGCACATAATTACAATTGTAACCAAAATTTTATCAAATATAAGGTAGAGTAGATATATAAATTCAAGTTTTACTTAGAAAATAAAATCCTATGAATGTATTTATTTCTCCACTACTTAGGTAGATTTATATATTTTATTTTTTTATCCTCACCCAAGGTCATTTTTCTATTTTTTTGTTCAGATAGAGTGGGAAGGGGAGAGAGAGAGAGAAAGAGAGAGAGAAACATCAGTGTGAAAGGGACATATCGAGTGCCACCCGCATGACCCAACCAGGCCCGGGGACAAACCTCAACCGAGGTATGTGCCCTTAGCAGGAACCAAACCTGGGTCTCTGGACCGCAGGCCCACGCTCTAACCACTGAGTCAAACTGTCCAGGGCAGCAGTCTATTTTTTAAAAACAAGAATTTGCCCAAATAGAGTTCATTTCAACAATACAAAACTGGTTCAAAATAACAACTGGCCGTATCAGTGCTGAAAGAGAAAACTCATATGGTCATGTTCCAATGATCTGAAATGGCATTAGATAAAAATTGGTAATTGTTCCTAATTAAGTAACAAAATCTGAGTAACCTGATGAAAATATTTCTCAAATCAAAAGCCAACATTTTCACCTGGTCAGATTGGCTCGGTTGGGCATCGTCCCATGCACTGGAATGTGGTGGGCTTGATCTCTGGTAGGGGCAGGTGTGGAAGGCAACCAATGGATGTTTCTCAGCATATCCTTAGGTGAGGATTAAAAAATAAATAAAGCTCCCCTGGCTGGTTTGGCTCAGCGGTTAGAGCATCAGCCCACACACCAGAGAGTCCTGGGTTCGGTTCCCGCTAAGGGCATGTACCTCGGTTGCAGTTTGTCCCTGACCCCAGTTGGGGTCATGTGGGTGGCAACCACTCGATGTGTCTCTCTCACATTGATGTTTCTCTCTCTCTATCTCCCTCCTTTTTTCCCTCCCACTCTGTCTGAAGATAAATGCAAAAAAAAGTCCTTGGGTGAGGATAAAAAACAATAAAGCTGACATTTTCACTGCATAGCAGGGGAAGCAAAAGCATTCCTGTTAAATTGTTCACTGTTATTGAACATAGTTCTGGAAGTACTAGTTGGCAGAAGTAGATGTTTCCGATAAAGCAGACACCTCAGATCCATGGGCTACTTGGGTGGATTATTCAGCAGGACATCTGGCCAGCCATTTGTAAACATTTGAAAAGTTTCACTCCAGCCCTGGCCGGTTTGGCTTAGTGGTTAGAGTGTTGGCCCGAGGACCAAAGAGTCCCAAGTTCGATTCCAGCCAAGTGCACATACCATGGTTGCATTTCGTCCTCAGCCCTGGTTGGGGTCGTGTGGATGGCAGCCAATTGATGTGTCTTTCTCACATCGATGTTTCTCTCTGTCTCTCCCTCCCTCCCGCTCTATCTGAAGATAAATGTAAAAATATCCTTGGGTGGGGATTTAAAAAAAAGTTTGACTCCATCCTCATTCCTTAGACAAAAATTTTATGTAAACTCAAGATGTCACCAAAAAAACTTAGCTCTAATTTTAGCAAAAAAAACTTGGAATACATGTAATCTCTAAATACACAGATTAATACTTTTAAACTCATTTAGAGTGGGGAAGGCCTTTCTGGCAACATACAAAACTAGAAGAAAAATTGGACCAAAATTTCTGCATTGAAAAGTAAAGTCACAATAAACATCAATTCAGGACAAAATCTTTGCAAAGCATGATGCACAGATGGATAATTCCTCTGCACACTTGTGCAAGGGTGTTTACAGGGGTGTTTGCAGCAGTTTTAATGCCAAATGTCTAGAAACAACCTAACCTTTCTCCAGTAAGGTACTACTTTAAAAAATATGGAAAATCAGTGGAAACCTGTACAACATAAAAGAATGATTTAATTTAGTTTTATGTAGAGAACACTTCTAGAACCTTTTGAGATGGGGCAGTAGTTTCTGCAGAACATTGTGTGCTCTCATTTGTGTACTTTCAAAAGAATTTACCACCGTATGTCTAACATTTTTCTAGACTAGTAAACAAACAGTAAATGGTCTTCAGAGTGGGAGTTTGAGTTGGGAGTAAAACTTTTCATCATGTACCCTTGGGTACTATTTAAATTTTATACTGTTTTTGGATTTTAAATTGTTACTTAATTTTTTTCCTGTGCTTTCAGTGGTGGCGTCTCTGCTCCTTAACCTGGGAAGCCCCACGAAGGAAGTGCGGAGGGCGGCCGTTCACTGTCTGCAGGCCCTCAGTGGAGTGGCATCCCAGTTTCAGCTGGTGATAGAGCACGTGGTTCCCAAAGCAGAGGAAATCACCTCGGATGCCACCTACATCATCCAGGTAACTCATCAGCACAGAAAGTTGCATGCGTGCATTCCTGTGTACACAGAAACAGTTTCCTCCTAAAAGGGTTAGTAATGTTTTGACAAAATTAAACTCCATTCTGATCAGTTATTCCTGCACGTAAACACCCGAGCAGTTTCTAAAAACCTGGGACTGACACTCGGGAACCATGAGGATAAGGGGCTAATGGTGGCCTTGGGAAACTTGGAGGGACCATAAAGAAGGAGATTAATGGTGGCCCAGACCTCTGCTGGAGCAGACTCCTCACCTCTGAGACAGCTTGTATCAGCCCCAGCACCAATTACGCGGTGCCAAGAGAATGTGTTTTTTTTTTAATGTAGTTTTTTTTTTGTAGTTTCTATAGTTTGAGCCTGTGTAAGCCAGAAACAAAGAAAGTTCAATGCTAAGCTCTTTAAGTCTTGGCCCGCCTGCACCCAGGCATATGCAATAAAGCCATTTTTCTGTACACTGACTTTGCATTATGCATGCGATCTCCCGCCGGCTCAGACCTTTTTACCTCCATTCTTGACTTTTGCTCTGTAAGGATTTTGACTGAGTTTAGTCTCTGAATTTAGAAACTGATATGTCAGTATTTGCACATCTTTCTCCCCCATTTTTAAAAGATAGGTAGCTAGGCCTGGCTAGTGTTGCTCAGTGGTTAAGCATTGACCCTGGTTAGGGCACCTGCCCAGGTTGTGGGCCCAATCCCCAGTGTGGGCATGCAGGAGGCGGCCAGTTGATGTTCTCTCTCATCAATGTTTCTATCTCTCTCTTCCTCTTCCTCTCTCTAAAATCAATAAAGAAAAAAAAATTTTTTAATAAAAAAAAATAGCTGCTAGAAGACCAGTGTCTGGCTTTTGAGAGTAAGCTGACTAAGGGGTACCAATGTCCTTTCCTAGTAAGGTTTCAAGGGAAAGTGAAAGTCACCCTCCACAATGAATACATTTAACCTTTATAGTTCCTTAACTCTTTTTTTACCCAATTTTCATTTTGGTGCCCTAGGATTTGGCTACTTTATTTGAGGAACTACAGAGAGAAAAGAAACTGAAATCTCATCAGAAGTTGTCTGAAACTTTGAAAAACCTGCTTTATTGTGTATCTAGTTGCCCATCTTATGTTGCAAAAGATCTGATGAAAGTCCTTCAGGGAGTCCACAGTGAGGTGAGTGCTGTCAGTGGGCTGCACTCCATGGAGTCCCGGGGGTCATCGGAGCACTGCTGTGTGGGCAAGGCAGGCGCGGTCAAATACATGCACTCAGAGTGAACACGTTCTCTTTAGTTTGGGAGGGGAAGCTCTGCGGTGGAGAAAGAGAGGAAACAAAAACAAATATTAGTGAGTTTCTTTGCATTTTAAAATTGTATGTTATCCCTGTCTAATCTCTGACCTGATTTTAAATGAATTTTAAAATCACATGGGGCCCTGGCCGGTTTCGCTCATGGGTTAGAGTGTCGGCCTACGGTCCAGAGAGACCTGGGTTCAGTTCCTGCTAGGGGCACGTATCTCGGTTGCAGTTTGTCCCCGGCCCTGGTTGGGTCGTGTGGGTGGCAACCACTCAATGTGTCCCTTTCATGTCGATGTTTCTCTCTCTTTCTCTCTCCTCCTCCCGCTCTGTCTGAACAAAATAATGAAAAATATCCTCGGGTGAGGATAAAAATAAATAAAATCACATGGGGAAGAACACTGAAGGTGTACTGCAGAAAAACTACTGGGTTGCGTCTGTGCTTCTGGTGAAAATTCTCCATGCCGTATATTCGGACGTAAGACTGAGCGTTCCAAAACTGTTTGCTCACTTTTTAAATGTACATAGTAGTACACTTCTCCAGGGTGGGGTGGGGAGTGGGATCCATAGTTCTTATTATGTTGACAAGGAAACCTGTGGTACAAAAGAGAGGTTATGAGAGCTCTGTTGACGTGACGGAGTATGCCGGTCGCAGAGGAAAACTTCCTTGTCCTGGGGTTCAGATGCCTGTGTGCTTCGCCAGTCTGGGACTGGCTGCAACCTGGGTAGAATGGGCCAAACACCATTTCATTGTATTTTATCAGCTCTGTCATCCCTGGTCTAGTTGAAACTAGGAATTGACAATCTTTTTCTGTAAAGGACAAAATGGTAAATATTTTAGGCTCTGCAGGCCATATAGTCTCTTACAGCTGCTCGGCTCTCCCTTCTCAGGCGGTAGCTGAGACAGCATGTAAATAAATCAACAGGCCTGGCTGTGTGTCAATAAGCAAGATTTACAGACTAGACTGTCCTCTAGATATGGCCCACAAGCCATGTTTTGCTGGCACCTGGTTTAGTTATTAAAGACTTTAACATACATAATTTGAATCATTAATTGTACCAAGTTGGAAGCATTTAGAGAAAGCTAAAATTTTTGTAATAGAGAACTTCAGTTTAGTTTGTATTTCCTATTTCAAGAAGTCTTGGGACACTCACAGATCTCCACTCATCTCTGAAGGCTTTGGCCATTGTAGACTAAACTATCGGAAGGGACCTGAGTGCTTAATTGGGTTAATAGTCATCCCATGTCCAAGAGGTCATCGTTACTGGATTTTTTTCTCCAGGCTAAGCTCCCTGTCTTCCAACATGATATCTTTGGCGATCTTTGTGAAAGCAAGCAGAAATTCATGTCAGTATAATAACTATTTTCTAATAAATTTTTCAAACTTCAGATGGTGCTTTCTCAGCTGTTGCCTATGGTTGAACAACTGTTGGAAAAGATCCAGAAGGAGCCCTCGGCTGTCCTGAAAGATGAGGCCACTGTTTTACATCTCACTCTGGGAAAATATAATGAATATTCAGCTTCTCTTTTACATAAAGACCCAAAGAGTTTAGATATATTTATAAAAGCCATGCACACAACAGAGGAACTTTTCATAGGAATGCCAGCCGTTCAGATTGCAGCCCTCGAAAAGGTCAGTGACTTTACTCAGAAACTAGAGCACATTCAAGGTTTTTAAAACATGTAATGTTCCAGTGACCTGGACATATTTTAAAGGAATATGACTTATTTGACTCATTTTGCAAAACTGAATGATGTACATTGGTCATTAAAAAGTATTACATTTGGCCCGGCTGGTGTGGCCCAGTGGTTGAGGGTTGACCCATGCACCAAGAGGTCGCTGGTTCGATTCCTGGTCAGGGCACATGCCCAGGTTGTGGGCCCAATCCCCAGTGGGAGACATGTAGGAAGCAGCCAGTCGATGTTCTCTCATCGATGTTTCTGTCTCTCTCTCCTTTTCCCTACCTCACTCTCTAAAAATCAATAAAGGGGAAAAAAAGTATTACATTTTAACCAACAAAATTGGGAATGATTTTACATTGTCAGAGAATGGTATAAAGATCTCTTTGGAATTAAAGTTTGTTCATTGAGCTCAATGGCCTCTTCTTCTTTTTTTTTTTTTTTAAATTTAACCTCCCCTAGATTACAAAGCCATTTTTCGCAGCTATATCAGATGAAAAAGTTCAGCAGAAGCTTTTGTGCACGTTGTTTGACTTATTGGTGAACTGTAAAGATGCACATTGTGCTCAGACTGTTAGCAGTGTTTTTAAAGGGGTAAGTTGCAAACAGCTTATAATATATTAATTCTTGTTCTCTTCCAGGTAACACCATGTTTAAACATCCTCCGTATACAGCGCTTTTAGAAAGCCAAATGTTACCAATTGACAAAATCACAGAAAAATCAGTCGTAGAGAAATACTAAGTCAAAATTAGACGTCTTCAGTGTTATTGTTAGTGTATGAAATATTTATGGTTTTATCCAGGCAGGGTGTGTGGGTTAGTTTGGATTTTATGTGTGTTAGAGAGGACCTGCCTATTTTGTGTAAGGGATAGGAATGATTGGTGGCCTGGTGTTCGACTGGTAGCAGCTTATTCTGCCTGACTTCACTAGTTGCCTGAGGATGAATGTCTGGTGGCATTGGGGACCTGCTTGTTGTTGATGATGCACTGAAACCTAGCTGCACTTCAGAGCAACCACCTGGTCCCTCTGTGTTTCGTCAGAAGACACGTTCATAAGAGGATCAGAGGATGGGAAAGCCTGGTGTCGGGGCTCAGCAGTTCTCAGAATTTAACATGTATTTACTTAGATTTCTAAGATAAATTAAGTGAAATAAATTGAGGTTCAAAGCAATGTTTATGATATGCTCCTGTTGGTTTTTTTTTTTAATCTTTATACAGTTGTCGATATATGGGACATTTTCAAAAGAATATATAAGTTGTCAGTTGTGTTTGCCTTTGGGGATTGGCCTGGGCTTCAGAGTCATAGGGAGACGTAAAAGTGAACATAGAGGTGTTCATTTTATCTCTTTTAGTCAACATTCACGTCTCTGATTTTATCCCATGAGTTAGGTCAACATTTTTTCTTCATATTTCAGATTTCCGTCAATGCTGAACAAGTCAGAATAGAACTGGAGCCACCAGATAAAACTAAGTCCTTGGGCACAATTCAGCAAACAAGAAGGCAAAAAATGCAGCAGAAGTAAGCATGCCGCTCCCGGGCCTTGAATGTTAAGAAATCATTGTGATTTTTTTCATACCCATCGATTTGGTATAATTGAATGTACTTATTCTTAGCACTGATAGTATTTGCTTTTCCAACTTTTTGTCTTATCTGTTTCCCAGAAAATTACAAGATGTAGAATCTGTTCAGGAAGTTGGAGGTTCTTACTGGCAAAGAGTAACCCTCATCCTAGAATTACTGCAGCACAAAAAGAAGCTCAAAAACCCTCAGATATTGATACCAACTCTTTTCAACCTGCTGTCAAGGTAATGACCCTGCCTTTGGTGCAGGAGAGAAGGGGATTGTGATTTCTCCTTGTCTTATTTTATCTAACATTCTCTTCTTGCTTCACTGTAAAATAAAGCAAGTTAAGAACTGTTGTTGAAAGATTAAAAGAATGGTTTCAGGTCCCACACACTACCCTTCATCCTGCGCTGTGTGGTAAATGACCTCTCACCTTATAGCCTCCTTACCTTCTCTCAGTGTCATGTCTCTGGAGCAGCGTTGCTTGTGCATGAAGACACAGGGCAACACCCACTCTGTTTTGTAGGTGTAAATTATTAGACAGATGGTCATAGTGTATGCCATTGCATTGTGGATATGTTCTTTCATCTGAAAAGCAAAGTAATTCTAAAATTTCAAATAGGTGATGGAAAGTGCAGTAGAAGGGAGAGGTAATTTGACATATGTACCTGCCTGTATGCGAAAGAAGTTAGAATTAGAAATCTTTTTTTCTTATGTATAGACTTGATGTTTAATGTTAATATTTTAGTCGTTGCTTATTTAATGTGTGTTCTGAGCAGTTGCCATTGGTGTATCACTGACACTGTACCGCTTTTATATCCCGTCATTTCTCTTCTGGGGTCCTGCAGGTGTTTAGAACCTTTGCCACCGGAGCAGGGGAACATGGAGTACACCAAACAGTTAATTCTCAGTTGTTTGCTTAACATCTGCCAAAAACTCTCTCTAGATGGTGGCAAAATATCAAAAGGTACGTGTGTGCTTTGTTGGAGGGGAAGGGTGAAGAGTTGTCCACTTCGGGTAGGACTGTGCCTACCACGTGAAAATTGTTTGTTTCTCACCACCGTAGATGTTCTAGATGAGGAGAAGTTCAATGTGGAATTGATTGTCCAGTGCATCCGCGTCTCAGAGATGCCTCAGACCCATCACCACGCCCTTTTACTTCTGGGGACTGTGGCGGGAATATTTCCTGTAAGTACTAATGACGTGGGACTTCAGATATTTCAGATGTTTCTGCTTTCTGTGCACATGCATGGGTGTTCACTGGTTCGGATTCAGTGGACTTGGAGAATCTTACAGCACTGGCGGGTCTCTCAGCCCTGCTTTTTACTAGATGAGACAGATTTTGCTAAGCTTTGGTTCCTCTTTGTAAAGTGGGAATAATAGGATGATTGTGAGGACACGACTGGATAATTTACACTTAGCTCTCAGCGCAGCGCCTGGCACATGTGGCCATTTGATAACTGGTAGAATTAGTGTTCCTTGGAAAAAAAATTGCTGTCCCCATCAATCCTCAAGACACCTTTCGACCAGTCACCTAAAATTAATCTGATTATGAATGACCTCAGTTAAAGAAATCATGTCCCTTACAGAAATACATCACTGAAAGATTTTTGAGAGATTGACAGTACTTTCATATTGGAGATTTCCATCAGAGGTTCCTAACCAGGGGTTCTCCATGAGCTTTAGCGGGCCTTTTGGTCTGCTAAAACCATGTGCAAGATTTTTGTGTATGGGATCTTTCTTTTCTTGGAATAAAGTCAATAGCTCTCAGGGGTTGATAATCCCGACAGGGTTAAGAATCATTGATATTTTTTCTTTGTTTTCATTGAAATATAGTTTATATGCCATAAAATTCACTCATTTAAAGTGTACAGTTCAGTGATTTAGTCTGTTCACAAAAGTATATAGCATCATATTTGTCTGCTCCTGGAACATGGCCATCGCCCATTCGCAGTCACTCCCTGTCTGTGTCACCACCACCCCTGCCTGGCAGCCACTAATCTACTTTCTGTCTCTGGATTTACCTGTTCTGGACATCTGTAAATGGAACCATATAATACTTGGCCATTTTTGTGTCTGATTTCTTTCACTTAGCAAAATGTTTTCAAGGTTCATCTGTGTTGAAGCTGAATCAGTATTCCCTTTTTTATGGCTGAGCAGTGTTTCATTTATGTACATACTACATTTTATTTGTTCGTCAGTTGAAGGGCATTTTTGTTTCTACTTTTTGGCTGTTACAGTAAAATTATGCTGCTGAGAACATATGTACACAAGGTTTTGTGTGAACATGTTTTCAGTTTTCTTTGGAGTGGAATTGCTGAATCATTTGCTAACTTTATTTTTAACTTTCTGAGAGACTGCCAGATTATTTTCCAAAGCAGTTGTACCGTTTTGCACCCACCAGGCAGTGTATGAGGAGTCTGCTTCCCCACCCTCACTGCTGCTTGTTATCGTCTTGTTACAGTCATCCCTGGTGGGTGTGGAAATTTTGTGGATTGTGCATTTCTCTAATAACTACTGGTGTTGAGCATCTTTTTTTTTTAACCCTCACCTGGGGATATTTTTCCATTGATCTTCAGATAGAGTGGGTGAGAGGGAGGAAGAGAGAGAGAGAGAAAAACATTGATGTGAAAGAGACACATGGATTGGTTGCATCCTCCATGACCCCGACTGCAACCGAGGTACATGCCCTTGACCAGAATCGAACACAGAACTCTGGTCCTTGGACCCATGCTCAACTGCTGAGCCAAACCAGCCAGAGTGGTGGTGCGCATCTCTGCATGTGTTTATTGACTGTTTGTCTTTAGGGAGATGTCTTTGCGAATCTTTTGCCCATTTTAAAACTGAGTTATTTCTATTATTGCTGAGTTGTAATGAATCATTGGTATTTGATGTGTTTAAAATAGAAAATGTTAAAAGACGTATCTTCTTTCAGGATAAAGTTCTACACAATATTATGTCTATTTTTACATTTATGGGAGCCAACGTCATGCGTCTAGATGACACTTACAGTTTTCAAGTTATTAATAAGACAGTGAAAATGGTTATCCCAGCACTTATTCAGGTAAGCTCGCTATGCCATCATTAGTTGTCGTTTTTTTTAATTTTTAAAATTTTGCATAGTAGTAGTAAATGAATGACATTTAATAGCCTTTCTGAAATGCTCAGGTATTTGTGCTTCTTAAATTTTAGATGATGAAGCTAAGAAGTAATCTTGGAAATAATGTCTTTTCCAAGAATATGAATAAATATGCATTCTACAAGGGTATAATAACTGCATAAGTGCTTTGTCACTATTCTGACAAGTGAGTTGACATTTACTGTGTATTTCAGGACGTTGCCTCAGTTTGGTAACGCCCCGGTGTAGGGCGGGGAAGTAGGAATGTTAGAGTCGCCATGGCAAAGTTAATACGCAGTTCAGCAAACACTTACAAGCACTCTAAGAGCTAAGTGCTCAGAGCTGAGGGAGATGTAGCCTCTGCCAGTAAGGAATAAACAAGTTGAAACTAAAAAGGGGCCTCGAAGATGAAAGAGGTTGGTCATCTACTTGATTTTTCTGTTTACCTCCATTGCTGTTGGTCTTATGTTAATGATTGACCATTCCAGGGATGACTGTATTCAGCACTGTCTCCTTTTAATCTTGGTATTCTCTGTTTCTAACACGTTGGCAAGTCAGGACACAGGAAAATACACACACACACACACACACACATATGAAAAATAACTCTACCTTGATATTGTATATGCCAACAGGATGGGTAAGTGCTGAATAGGGGAAAGTCTTTATGGGCCAGGCTGACCCCAGAGCTTCATGAGAAACGGGGACGTGGCAGGAAGGAAGGGTAGGGTTTGCCCAGTGGAATGGCAGAGTTATCAGGAGCCTGAGCAGATGCGTAGTGTGGGAGTGGACAGTGTGTAGAGAACGTAATGTAGGTGATTTAGTGGAGAGTAGAGAATTGGGGCAAGTAAAGGGCGTTGCGTATTCATTCTTTGTTCATTAAAAGCTCTATTTTGAGCACTGACACTAGGGTAGAATGGTTTGAACTTTATTCTGAAAGCAGCAGCAGCTCTTGGCCTTTCTGTGTCTTTGCTCTCGATTGTACCCGTTCTGAGCACAGCACAAATCCTGCTTGATTTTTGCAGCTTCTCAGACGTCCTGAGAGCACGCTGCTCTCAGCGCCTGGCATTTGGCACCTGCCATTTAGTGCCTCCTGTTGCCTTCTCACACCTACCTGTGTCTTGGGTCTGATGAATCTCCTTGTGGGCAGGGCCCACATCCTACACTTTGTATTCCCCTAGGGCCAGGTAGTGCCTGGAACATAATTTATACTTTTTGAGTTTTTACTGATTTGATTATTAAAATTCTTCTGATAACATTGGGCAAGCATGAAGGCCTTGTTCTCTCCACTTAAAACTTGTTTTGTCGTCGGCGAATTTTGTTCCTACTTGCTGACCCTCCTTGTCACTCTGCAGTCTGATGGTGGAGGCTCTGGAGAAGTCACACGGAATGTGGAGGAGACCGTGGTGAGGATCACGAGTGTGTTTGTGGATGCGCTGCCGCACGTTCCCGAGCACCGGCGCCTGCCTGTCCTGGCTCAGCTCATCGACACGCTTGGCGCAGAAAGATTCCTCTGGGTTCTCCTCGTCCTGCTCTTTGAGCAGTATGTCACCAAAACAGTGCTGACGGCTGCCAGTGGAGAGAAGGTCAGAGCCGCGGGTGGGCGAGAGAAATGGTGATGTTTCACACAGATTTTGTGATATTTTCCATCTTAAATGTGGGGCTGGTGATGCTTCACATGCATTACTTTACAGTGCTCAGAACTGCTTTTAGAGAGGTTTTGCCACTCTTTAAAGTTGTTTTCGGAGCCCATGGCTCTGAATTCCACGGTAGCAACAGGTCTCCTGAGGGTAACTTTTCTTTTCTTTTTTTTTTTTTAATCCTCACCCAAGGACATTTTTTGCATTTATCTTTAGATGGAGCTGGGGGGAGAGAGAGGGAGAGAAACATCGATGTGAAAGAGACACATCGACTGGTTACCACATGCACGACCAACCAGGGCCGGGGACAAACTGCTACCGAGGTACATGCCCTTAGTGGGAACTGAGCCTGGGTCTCTCTGGTCCGCAGGCCGATGCTCTAAACACTACGCCAAACCAGCCAGGGCTGACTTGACTTTTCTTAGAACCAGGTCTGGTGCTCTGCTGAATGGTTCTGCTTTAAGTCCAACAGAGTACAGCTTCAAAGTGATTAAACGGTGTCTCTTGAAAGTGGTTTTGAAGGCACTTTGCAGGGACAGGGAGGAGCACCAGGACCACTGAGATCAGCGAGACACGGGTGAATGTTCTGAGGAGCCCTGTTGGGATAGACGAGGACAGAACTTAGAGGTCAGGACGTGTCTAGATGACCTCACAGACCTGGAGTCTGGATGACTGCTAGACCTGCTCTGAATAAAACAGGAGGTTCTGTTCTGCTGGAAGTCATAGTGCAGACCGTCCTGGATTGTGCCCTCATAGCTCTCATAAATTGGCTTTTTCTTAATCCTCACCCGAGGATATTTTTCTATTTTCAGATAGAGTAGGAAGGAGAGAGGGGGAGAAACATCGATGTGAGAGGGACACATTGGTCGCCTTCCGCATGACCCTGACCAGGGCTGGGGATGCACCGCAACCAAGGTACATGCCCTTGGCCTGAATCGAACCTGAGACTCATTGGTCTGCAGGCCAACGCTCCACCGCTGAGCCAGACTGGCTGGGGCTCATTGACTGGCTGTTTACATAAGGAGCTCAGTAGCTTGTTCCTCTGTTGATACGGGGACCGGGAGGAGCAACACACAGTGATGTGTGCTGAGAACTGTTTTTAAGACATTTACCTCGTTGGTATTAATTAATTAACATAATAAATTTACATAGGTGCAATTTGATTACCTATGTCTCTTCTCTGTACAGGATGCTATGTTAGAAGCAGACACTGAATTTTGGATTTCAGTCTGTTGTGAATTTAGTGTCCAGCAGCAGATACAAAGCTTAATGAATATCCTCCAGTACTTATTAAAGCTGCCAGAGGAAAAAGAAGGTGAGCGTACGTCAGGGGCACTTCCTGTTGACTCTGAAAGTTCGGGGGAGGCAGAGACTGTGCAGGTTCTTCTTAGAACCCAGAGAACACCTTTAGAAGGAACTTCTGAAAGTAAGTGAATAACTTTTCACTTGGTTGTATGATTGTGTACCTTCTCAAATCTTTATGAAGAGAAAAGGTAAGTAGGGTTTCTCCTGCCATTCCTCACACACACGTTGGCGTCTGTGCCTCTGCCTTTGCACTGATGTGTTGGCTGGGCAGTGTTACAGTGTCTGGGGTGAACTGTGGTAAAAGGACAGCAGGTTACCAGGGCTTTATTAGCTGTATCTTCCCATTGAAATAGTTGTGAAGACATTTACAAGAAGAAAAGCAGTGGTAACAGTATTAAAATTTTACTGTGTGTGGGAATCTTGAAAAACCCACTCTTTGCAGTACCAATGACGTTGGCTCGATGTGTTGCATGTTCTTAGTTCTTTGCCCTTCCGAGAAGGACAGCAAGGTGCATTCAAAGGACGGGGCCAAGGATTCTGCGAGGACTGTCTTCTGGTGGCCAGCTGTGACCCTGTCATACCTGCTTGGCCAGGCAGTGACTTGCCTCATCTCACTCACAGCTCAGGGACAGATTGGGCAGTGCCTAGAGAGCTGTGTGTGGTGACATGCTAAGGAAGGAGTACTCATTCTGAGTCACTCTGACGCAGTGGTTTTTGTCTTTCTTAAATCCCCACCTGAGGACATTTTTCCATTTATCATCAGATAGAGGTGTGTGTGTGTATGGGGGGCATTGATGCAAGAGGAGAGACACATCGACTGGTTGCCTCCTGCACAACTCTGACCAGGGCTGGGGACCGAACTGCAACCGAGGTACGTGCCCTTGACTAGAATCGAGCCCACAACTCTGGTCCGTGGGCTGACGCTCTAGCTGCTGAGCCAAACCGGCCAGGGTAGGGGTAGTGGTTTTTAAGTGGCCCACCCTGGACCCCCAACCACTGCACCCAACCCTTTCAGATTAGATCCATCTGAACATGGGATTCTACAAAGTTTCAGGACATCTCTAGACTTTCAGAATTAAACGTTGAAGATTTCAGTCTGTTGTGGGCCACCAGGTAAATGCCTTGAGGCTTCAGAAATAGTGTGGAGTAGCAATTCAAGACCCTTTTATAACACTCTGGCTTCCATTTGCTTGTCTCAGCTGCCCTAGGGTTTTTTTGGTTTTGTTTTTCTTTTGGTCTTAACACACTCTTCTCAGGGCTGCTGGGTACTTTCTTGGTAAATATATTCATGTCTTTCACTAATTTAAAAGGGAAAACTGTGTGTAATAGAGGAATGAATATCTCTGAAAATTGTATCCCACTACCATGGTCCTTATGTCTACCCCTGTACTAAAGGTTCAGGTCAGAGGTGAGGGGCCACCTGTTCTGTTGCTCTTTTCCAGAAGCCACCCCTAAAGCTGCACCTAGTAAGGGTGGGGCCCCGCCGGAAGTGCTGCAGGTTTTCGACGTAGACGCTCACACTGGCAAGCAGCTGCGGCACTTCAAGTTTCTGTCAGTGTCCTTCATGTCTCAGCTCCTGGCTTCCAGTCATTTTATCAGAAAGGTGATGTGTTCTTTAAATATGTTTATGATACGATGATTTTGCTTTTTCTAAAGGAACTGTGTTTTAAATTAGGAAAGAGATCTTGGCAAATATCGTGAATGCGTGAGGCATGCCTTTAAAGATAATAGAAAAAATAGTACAACTCACCATGAAACTTTGGTGTGATCTCCATAAACCTTATGGCTCATTAATTCTACCCTCAAGTGGGAGAGGCCCAGAAGAAATGTGCGCCTGCATCAGAAGATGTCAGGGTGTCGTGGGAGCCCCGAACTGGCAGCGTCCAGTGTCTGTCCACAGTGGGGGATGAAGTGTTGCCATAAAGGGACGTGGGTGAACCTGGTGACCCCTGTAAGCAGTGTCCAAGGAGAGAAGGCAGACACAACAGTGCGCCCTGGGATTCCAGTTGTATGAAGCTCAGAAACCGCAAAGCAGATCCGGGGTTTAGAAGTAAGGACGGTGCTCATGTTTGGAAGGAGGGGAGAGTCGTAGTGGGGTCAAGTAGAGGAGGGATTTGGAGGCTCTGACCTGCTGCTCTTTACCTGAACTTGTGAACTCCACGTGCAAGACTTGCACCCTTTCCGTTTGTGTGTTAAACTTGAAACAGAGAGAAAGGAGGAGACAGAAACAAAATGAGGAAGTAAACAGTGTGAGAGGAGGAAGGGCCATGACCCGGAATACCGAACAGTTTCCCGCAGGCTATCTGTAGTGTACATCTGCTGTTGCTCCATGAGCAGTTCAGGGTGGTAAAGCAGGATCACTGAAATATTTACAGAGAAATAGTTCAGTGGATTTATTACTTATTCGTGATTTAAAAAAATAATCCTCTTGGCATCGAGAACGCAACCCAAGGAAGTGCCAGAACCTGTATTTCATCACCTTTTCACGGTGGATGTCAGCTGTGTGCCTGTCAGCCTGGCACACGGATGCTCTCTGTTACTGTTCCTATTTGGCAAAAGAAGTGACGTGTAAGAATCAGAAAAGATAAATTCATAGAGCTAATAATTACTCCAGCGAGCTTGCTTGATAGGGGTCAGTGTGGACACTGCCCAGAGGGGGTCCGTGAAGACGCAGTGGGCAGGTGGCTCGGTGTGGCTGGGCGGGAGCCTGGGCCCACCTGTGTGCCTGGGAGACGTGTGTGTGGCAGGAGGCAGCACAGAGCAGCGGGGAGAGGCCTGTCCAACAGCCACTGCTGGCACAGTTCACGTGCACGTGGGGAGGAGGTGACCTCACACTGTAACAGAGGACACTCTTAGATGATTAAAAACTTCAGTGTGGAAGACAATATTTAGAACTTTATATTTTTTAATCCTTATCCGAGGACATTTTCATTGATTTTTAGAGAAAGTGGAAGGGAGAAAAAGAGAGAGAGAGAGAGACATTGATGTGAGAGAAACATCAGTATGAGAGACACATGGATCAGTTGCCTCCTGCACGCTCTCTGACTGGGACTGGGAATTGAACCTGCAACCTAACCATGTACCCTGACCAGGAATTGAACCTGGGACCTGTCAGGGCATGGAATGATGCTCCTACCAACTGGGCCACACTGGCTAGGGCTAGAACATCGAGAAGAAAATCGGGGGTATCATTGTGACCGGAGAGTGAAGAATTTTGTGAAAACTTTGACTCAACAAAAGGCCACTGTAAACAAAATGACAAAGAAAGCCACAGACTAAGAGAAGGTTGCTGTGTGTAAATCCCAAAGCATCAGTTTCCACTAGAACACCTGGCGGAGGTGTGCTCACTGAGGAGGAATCGTGGCCAAAAGTGCACGGACACCACCTCCTGGTGAGAGAAAGTTCAGGTTAAACTAGAGGCCACCGTGATGTCCCTCAGGCTGGCAGAAGTGAAGAGCTGTTCATAGGAAGCAGTGGCAAGGCTGTGGGGACTCGGCCTTTTCGTGCTCAGGGACAGGTGCCGTGGGCCCCGACAGCTCGGCCGGGTCCAGCCAGGCGGCAGGTGCTCAGGCCCGCTGTCAGGTGTGCTCTGCAGAAACGTGTGGGCGTGCCCAAGGAGACACACAACGCTCTTTTCAGCATTGTCACCGAAGGAAAATTAGGGACATGAACTAAATGTTTACCAGCAGAGCTGAATGAATAAGCTGTGGTTTACATGGAAGGTTCTTGTGCAGTTAAAACGAGTGAACACGACAGATCTCAGAAATTCAGTATTAGCAGAAAAGTACGTTGCTGGCAGCAAATTCAAGTTCGTGGGGCTGGAAGTGGTGGGAGAAGGGTTAGGGAGCAATACAGAGGGGAGCACAGCTGTACCCACAAGAGATCATCTTAAAATCTGCTGCGAGCTAAAGACATCAGCATTTCATAATTAGTAGGTAAATGAGTATTAATTATTTGCTGTATTTTTCTGAATCTTTGTGGTTCTTTACAGATATTACTGGTATCCATAGAGTGTAATTAAAATAAAGGGAAGTAGAGTTGTTATTTCAGTATAATGGAGGTGATAGGAACCTGATTACATTATAATGTCAGAAAACTGTTGCTGTGGGAAGTGTGGATGGAACAGTCTTCAGTGTTTCATCGCACCTACTTCAAATGGTTTGCTATCAGCTCCTGTACTGTTCTAATGATGCCTTCTTTAAAAACCAGGTAGTTGAAAGTGGTGGTCCTCAAGTTTTAAAAGGCCTTGAACAAAGGTATGTTACTTTTTCTTTTTCAATTTTTATTTGGAAATAATTTCAAACTTTTATCAAAATCTGGAGGAACAGGTCACAGAATTCTCCGGTCTGTGCTAGGTTGCTGGAAGCCGTCCTGGGCTACATCAGCGCGGTTGCACAGTCGGTGGAGAAGAACGCAGACCAGCTAACGGGGAAGTTCTGGCGAGCGCTTCTCAGCAAAGCGTATGACATGTTAGACAAGGTAGGTCTCCGTCTCTCCCCACCTCTGCTTTGTTGCTGTTTCCATGTCATTGTGAATTGATTTAACATGGTTTTACTTTAAGAATAAAGTTAGCAATAGCTTCTGGTAATATAACGCAGCTCAGATTTTTCTTGGAAAAGAATCTCTTTATGACTAGAAGTAATTTTGTGGGAAGGACAGTTGTGTCCCTCTCGGTTACGTGAACACGTGCGTCAGTGATGCCATGCTTTTAACATGCAGCCGTGTAACCCTCTGTAATGTTCCACTTTATTCACAGAGAATAAAGGAAAAACACCTGTCAGGTGGTCTGATCTCTTTGCAGTGTCACTGGTCTTGACATAGGGTCCTGCCCACAGTCTGGCTGAGACACTTGGCTGCTTGGCATCGGTCAGTCCACTTAGTCTGAACATCAGTTCCTGTGCTTTGTTTTAATAAACGAGATTAGTAATGCCTTCCTGAACGTCAGTGTAAGGATTAAATAAGAAAATGTGTTTGAAAATGACTGGCACCTAGAAGGTGGGCCATGATTAGAAAGAAGTCTATCTTAATCTGAGTTTATCTTCCCTTTTTTCTAATTTCTTTTTTGTTAAATGTAAACCTGCTCCATAGGTCAATGCCTTGCTGCCCACAGAAACCTTCATTCCTGTGATTAGAGGGCTGCTGAGTAACCCCCTGCCGTCTGTTCGCCGGAAAGCAATGGATCTTTTGAACAACAAGCTACAGCAGAAAGCGTCCTGGAAGAAGAAAACCGTGAGTGAGACTGAGCGCACTGAGGCTGTGCTTCAGCCCTGTTGGGATTCTTGCTGAGCATGGGCCACGGATTGGCTTTGGGGTCATTCTAATCTGCTCTTCCTCCGAACCAGGTGTTCATGTAAGTCAGGAGCTGGTCACGAGCACACGCTTTGACTTGGTGCAGTCGGTCACGTGTGGCCCAGGACCTCTTGTTTGGGCCTCTGCTCAGGCATCGTCAGCAGTAACGGGGGAAAGCAGACCAGTAATGTTTTGCAGCTTTAATTACAGGGAATGTTGGTTGTTCTCCTCAGGTTTGCCATTTCCTACAACTGGTTCCAGTCCTTTTGGCCATTGTGCAGCGTAAGAAAAGGGGGACAGAAGAACAAGCGGTAAACAGACAGACAGCTCTGTATACCCTGAAGCTTTTATGCAAGAATTTTGGTGTAGAAAACCCAGAGCCTTTTGTCCCCGTGCTGAACACGGCGGTGAAACTGATCGCTCCAGAAAAGAGGGACGAGAAGAACGTCGTGGGCAGCGCCCTGCTGTGCGTGGCGGAGGTGGCCTCCACCCTGGGCGCGCTGGCCGTGCCCCAGCTGCCCAGGTATGCTGGATGGACCTGGGCAGGAGCGTCGAGTAGGGTTCCTGGTACCAACTGAAAAATAATACCTCAGTGATTTTTCTTGCTTTTAATTAGAAGTTACATAAACTTAGATTTGCTAAATCTCTGGCCGGGTGGCTCAGTTGGTTAGGAGCGTCGTCCTGTACACCTAAAGGTTGCGGGTTTGATCCCCATTTGGGGTGCATACAGGAGACAACCGATCAGTGTTTCTCAGGATGTTCTCACTCTCTCCCCCCACCCTTTCCCTTTGTCTCTCTGTCCCTAAAGTCAATGAAAACATGTCCTCGGGTGAGGATTTAAAAACTATTCTAAAGAATTGATCTTCAAGCTGAAGAAAACAGCATTCTCATTTACCTTCATGATGTTTCTTGTCCCCCAGTTCTCGCTCCCCTTTGACCAGCTGTAATTAGAAAGCCGCAGGTGAAGCCCCCTCTAGAGGGCCATCCAGCCGGGGGAAGTCGGACCCCTGACTCTGGGGCTCTGGCACTGACTGGCGGTGCAGCCTTGCAGGTCACTTGGCTTTGCGGTCAGTGAAACCGAGGCAGCGCCCACCTGTGGATCCTGTGGGGCGGAGCACGGAAGGCTGTTCACACGGTGCCTGGCACAGGGCAGGTGTTCAGTTGAAAAATGTCACTTTAAAATGAGTGCTGTGGCCCAGCCGGTGTGGCTCAGTGGCTGAGTGTCGACCCTGCACCAAGAGGTCGTCAGTTCGATTTCCGGGCAGGGAGGGCACATGCCCAGGTTGTGGGCCCGATCCCCTGTGGGGGTATGCAGGAGACAGCCAGTCGATGTTCTCTCTCATCGATGTTTCTGTCTCTCTCTCCCCCTCCCCCTCCCTCCCTCTAGAGTCAGAGAAAAATGTGTGAATGAGACGCGCACTGTCAGCACTGTGGCGCTGGAAGAGCTCGCGCTCTGTCACGTGAAATGTGTACCCAGTGTTTTTTAGGCTCTGACAGTGATGTAATGTGGGCACCAGTGTGGGATTTTTCATAAGGACTTGTACTCTGTTCTCTATTCTGTTTCTGCTTAAGGCTACTCTAAAACTTGTTCTTTATTTCTAGCCTGATGCCCTCATTGCTGACAACAATGAAAAATACCAGCGAGCTGGTGTCCAGTGACATCTATCTGCTCAGCGCCTTGGCAGCCCTGCAGAAGGTGGTGGAGACTCTCCCCCACTTCATCAGCCCCTACCTGGAAGGTGTTCTGTCACAGGTGAGCCACTGCACCTCAGCATGCTCTCGGGGTTCAGGGGGAAGGGGAAAACGACAAACCTAATAATACTTGCTCTTTAAGTTTTTAGTTTCTGTTTGGCAAGAAGATTCTTATTTCTGAAAAGAAGTGTTTGTTATTCCTAAATGTGTGCCTTTTTTCTTCCACTTCATTCCTCCTGCTTAATCCCGACATTGACACGGTATCACTTTGTCATGAGGCTCGTCTCCTTTGATTTTGCATAATGTATTTTATTGTTTTTTCCCCTTTGAGATCTTTGGAGTTGAGCTGGCAGAGCTTCCTTTATTACTCCCTGTAGAAACTGGTGTGTGTGTTTCTGATGTTGGAGGGTCTCCTGAATCGCAGTACAGAGGTTACTTGCAAACACAGTGGGCAAGGGTGTTTCCATCTGGAAACGCCTGAGAATGGCCCTTCTGCTCTGTTGATGTCTGTCATGCATAAGGTCAGGAGCCTTGATGCAAATGACTTCAGTGATCCACATACGCTCCTGTCAGCACTTGGAATTTGTAGCAGGGACCTCTGCACCTCAGGAACTTTCCAGACTTGTCAGCAAGAGGAGCTCAGGTTCTCATGGTCGCTGGATTCCTGTCCTCTGAAAACATAAGTCTGAATGCTCTGTCCCCCCGTGCCACTGACCCACATCCCCGACTCCCAGTTAGGAAAGAGGCATCTGTCCATTTTCGTCTACAGATGTTCAGGGTTGGCTTTAACCTGTTAACCGAGCGGGACGTACAAATACGTCAAACGTTGCATCCAGTGAAAAGGGAACTCCCCGGCTATTCCCCGGGTGACAGGTTGAGAAGAGTTCTCTGTGAGCTGCCGTGTCCTGGGCTCTGTCCAGCCACTAGCATTTGGGCCTCTTGCACCGTCTGACTTGCTGTGCGTGTGTAGATGTTCTCACTAAGTACCTGGGGAGGCCTTGGTCACTGTTTTATATTTCTATAGGTGATTCATTTGGAGAAAATCACCAATGAAATGGGTTCAGCCTCCCAGGCTATTGTCCGTCTCACGTCTCTTAAAAAGACACTGGCCACCACTCTGTCACCCCGCGTCCTGCTACCGGCCATCAACAAAACATACAAGCAGATCCAGAAGCACTGGGAGGTGAGAGGACGTCGGGGATGAGACTTTGGGGAAAGAAGGTGTGGTGCTGAAATTGTCACTCTCACTCATGAACTCGGGAAATCCCTCTCCTGTTATTGTAGAATCACATGGGTCCATTTATGAGCATCTTGCAAGAGCACATCAGGGTCATGAAGAAGGAAGAGCTCACCTCCCATCAGTCTCAGCTCACTGCATTTTTCTTGGAGGCCCTGGACTTCAGAGCACAGCACCCTGAGGTCAGCTTGTTGCAACTCCCCCACATCCTAAACTTACCGCTAAGAGCCAGAGAAAACCAGCTAGTGACTGTTCTGCTTGCCAAAATTACGTAGAGCTATGTCAGAATTCTGCCTAATAAATCAGCTTTGTTTTCAGGATGATCTGGAAGAAGTTGGAAAAACAGAAAATTATATTATTGACTGTCTAGTGGCTATGGTGGTGAAACTTTCTGAAGTCACCTTCAGACCCTTGTTTTTCAAGGTGAGCTTTCTTCTTCACCGTCGCCCCTGTACTTATGTAAGTAACAAGGTGTGTAGAAGAGACTCTTATTACTTTATCTTTTTAGTTGTTTGATTGGGCTAAGACAGAGGATGCCCCAAAGGACAGACTGTTGACGTTTTACAACCTGGCGGATTGCGTTGCTGGGAAACTGAAAGGGCTTTTCACTCTGTTTGCTGGCCACTTAGTGAAGCCTTTCGCTGACACCTTGAACCAAGTGAACATCTCCAAGACAGGTTGGTAGCTGACTCCAGTTCCGTGGACACCTTGCTCTGTGGGCCTTAACACAAGGCCCGGAAAGTATGCTAAAAGGAGGGTGCAGTCGGTTGCCAGGCCCCAAAGTGTTTGTTTGAGCGTAATGAAAACAGGGCATGAATTAATTGACTCACTGGGAGAAAGAATACAGTGGGCTTTACTCCGAGTCATTGCACATACCTTTAAAACATTAAAACCAAGATTGCTTAAGTGATGCTAGTAAGCAACTCCCTTGACACTGGTCACTTAACTTACCAAACCAAGTCTCTCAACATCTGAGACTCCTAACTTTGAAAGGAGGAGTCACTTCCCCGAGACCATCCACCTTGTGTTCCACCTCATCCTAAGCTCGATTTCTAAATCGTTGTGGAAATGCCCTCTGGCCCTGGCCGGTTTGGCTCAGCGGTTGGAGCATCGGCCTGCAGACCAGAGTGTCCCAGGTTCGGTTCCCACTAGGCCCTAGCAGCTAGGAGCACGTACCAAAAAAAGAAAAAGACCCTTCTGATTGTAGTTCTCTTCATAGTGATTTGTACTGAACATTGGAGGTGACATTGTGAACTTTTCATCTTTCCTCTCCCCCATCTTACAGATGAAGCATTTTTTGACACAGAAAATGACCCTGAAAAGTGCTGCTTGCTCTTACAGTTTATTTTGAACTGTTTATATAAAATCTTCCTTTTTGACACCCAGCATTTCTTAAGTAAAGAGAGAGCAGAAGCCCTGATGATGCCCCTCGTGGACCAGGTAACCCAGTAAGACCATCTGTCAGAGGAGGGAGCCTCACGTTGCTGCAGGTCTCATACCTACTGAAATGAGTTTGCTGGAATTTTTATTTCCCTACAGGTTTTGACAAAATTTTTATTTCAAAATTGATTTCTCATTTTAGTGGATTTAACTTAATCTTCTTAGTAGTGTTTATTGAGTTTTACTTTTGAATTTTTCAAGTGAAAGACACAATATAATGTCTAATGGTTAAATTTTTAATTTTTTTTTTTAATCCTCACTCGAGGATATTTTTACATTTTTTTCAGACAGAGTGGGAGGGAGGGAGGGAAACATCGATGTGAGAGAGACATTGATTGGTTGCCACCCGCATGACACCGACTGGGGCCGGGACTAATCGCAACCGAGCTACGTGTCCTTGGTCAGAATCGAACCCGGGACTCTTTGGTCCGCAGGCCGACGCTCTACCCACTGAGCAAAACCGGCAGGGCTAAATTTTTAATTTTTTAAAACCGGTTTCATTGAGAATGTTTGAGGCAAGGCTGCCCTGTGCAAGAACAGCTGTGTGTGTTCCGCGGGAGGGGGCGGGGTGCCGTGGGCTGAGGGTCTGTGCGCGTTCCAGAAGGTGGACACTTTCCTACAGACAATATTAGTCGAGTACCTGGTGTTTGAGCCTGCTCAGGTCATGACAGAACATTACTTATATACTGGGTATGAGGCCTGTTGCTCAAAGTCCTTTTCTCATCTCGATAGCTGGAGAACAGGCTCGGAGGGGAGGAGACGTTCCAGGAGCGGGTAACGAAGCACCTGATTCCGTGCATTGCTCAGTTCTCAGTGGCCATGGCCGATGACTCTCTTTGGAAACCACTGAACTACCAGATTCTGCTGAAGACGAGAGACTCCTCGCCCAAGGTCAGGAGCTGTGGTGACCGGCACTGTGTGCGTCTTCCATGTAGCCCAAACAGCTGGGACGCGGTCATGATGTGTGACCGTGGTGACTAGTGGGACAAACATGGCTGCTCGTCTTCTAGGACCAGGGGTCGGGCTGTGGTGGACAGAAATTTGTAGCTGAGTTTTGGGTTTTATTTCTAAGTTATTTAAAAATAATAGTTGTCCGCCTGTCTGCCCCCACCCATGTGTGTGTGACACAAGCACTCAAATTCTTTTTAAGTCTTGAAGAGACGTGAAGTGGTTCCTTGTGCTTTTTCAGCACCCGTGTGTGCTCCAGGAGACACATGCTTTGGGTTTGTCCACAGACATGCCGAGTGGGAGATCTCAGGCTTAGGGTTCCATGGAATAATGAAAGTAGATGGTGGCTGCTGACACCCTCTGACACCAGGGAGGACCAGCAGAGGTTCAAGTCCCACACCCGAGTGTCAGAGCCACACTGAATCACCATTTTTCAAACTAATTATCTTACTAGAACCTTAGTGGAGAAATCAGACCAAAACAGAATTTTAGCAATAGATTAGTTGAAGTTTGTGATATTTATTATTAGGAAATAATGAGAACAATGATGCTATTTTGATGAATTTCAAATTTTAATTGTCGGTTCTTAGAAAGTTGTAATAAAGTTATTGTTTTGATTGTACAGTATCAAGAAAATTCTGATTGAACATAGGTAGTTAGATATTATTTTAAATAACTCGCTTTGCTATATCCAAATATTCTTTAAATTGTCCAAAACCAGAGCGAGGACTAGCACAGTTTCTGTGATCACTAACACAACGGAACAGCTTTTTGCATTTCTTGTCACAGACAAGTCATGTGAGAAACACCTAGACTTGAATTCCACAACCAGTGTGATATGTGTGTTTTCACTCTGCCGAGATGGCAGCATGGTGACCAGGCCCCTCACCAGTGGTGACCATAGTCAGGGCACTGTGGCAGGGTCCTCCCTGAGGTGGCTGGGGACACTGTCCTGCCAGGTTGGCCTCACCGGTCAGCCAGGCGAGCTGGTGCACTCCAGTGCAGTCAAGTTGATGACACATTTGAGTTTGCATATGGCATTGCATATGGCATTGCATTTGTTTTTAAAGGAAAATGTTATAAAAAGACATTCGCCTTCAAGGCCTGCATTGCTGGGGCCCAGTTCGGGTTGCCTGTATGACAACCAGGTCCCAAACTGTTCAGTAAACTGCATCCTGAGGTGAAAGTTGAGTGGACATAACGTGAAATAAACTCATGTTAAGTCACATTTAGTTTAAGAAGGTAAGAGCTTGTCTCAAATTAGATTTTAAGATAAAATAAACCAGTACTGGTTTTACCCACCTTGACCTCGTTCCCTTCAGGTTCGATTTGCTGCCCTCATTACCGTGTTAGCACTGGCTGAAATGCTAAAGGAGAATTATATCGTCTTGCTACCAGAATCCATTCCTTTCTTAGCTGAATTGATGGAAGGTAATTCCCACATTATTAGGGAATAATTATAGTACAATTCCGTGAAAATGTGCTCAATGATAATGCACATTTGGGTTACAATGTGATTAGCCCTTGGCTCAGACTGCGAACACAGGAGGCTGAATTCCTATTTTGAGTAGGGTGGAGGGAATATATTAGGAAATGACTTAATTTTCCCTTTACCTCACACGGGACCATTTTGGTCTGCAGATGGAGATCTCAGTGTCTAGGGGCATTAAGGCTGCATAGGGCAGCTTCCTGCTAACAGTGACCAGCACGTCCTCGATGCTGTGCATAGATGATCTCTATCCTCAAAACCAGTACATCCATTACCTAGTTTATAAAGGAAAGAACTAGAGGCTTTAAGGTGATTAATTTGATAAACTAACAAAGTGAGTGACAGCTGGAGCTGGGGTGGAAGTCGAGTGTGTGCAGTGGGGACATAGGGCACAGTGAGCGCTGTGCCACATGCAGCCTGAGAAATGACCGTAGTTCTTACTGTTAAGCAGGGCGGTGGAGGTGAGTAGGCTGACACTTCCATGTTTGCGATTCACTGCTCATCTAAACAAAGCACATTCAGCTTTGTTTCTGTTGTCCCGGAATGTGGCATCGCCAGGAATTTGGCATTTTCACTTGGGTACCTCTGTTGTGGGCTGTGTTACTCTGCGTACAAGTCTGAGACAACTGGAAGAGGGGCGAAGGCCACCTGGAGGAACGCGGGGGTCCCCAGGGACCTGACTGCTCGCAGAGATGGAGCCGTGTGTGGCTGGGCCAGTGGTGGCCGAGGCAGGGAGACTGACTCATTGTAACTTGGATTTTCCAGATGAGTGTGAAGAAGTAGAACATCAGTGCCAGAAGACTGTTCAGCAGCTGGAAGCTGTACTGGGAGAGCCGCTGCAGAGCTACTTCTAAGACTTTGGGTTTTTGATGTTTCATACTCTGTTCAGAGTTTGGATTTATGTTTTATATTTTTATTTTTGGGTGTTTGGGGCCATGTTATTTTTGGTGCCTTAACACCTATGTGGACTTGACAAAATTCCTACCTGGTGGTTTGTGCATCCCTTCAGCCCCTCCTGCCATCTGTACAGAACTGCAAAGAGTAAAGGATACGTGGTCGATTGATACAGACGGCTGTAAAGAGTAAAGGATACGTGGTCGATTGATACAGACGGCTGTGTTGTTTCAATGTTTATTGCAGTCGTTCCTGACTGGTGGTATTATTACAGACGAGTTTAATCTTAGCACTCAAAGCTAACACCTCACTTAGACTATAAAGCCTTAACTTCTGTAAAAGAATGTCTTCGGCATGTGGCATCCATGTCAGAGATTTCTTTCAAAGTATTACATTTTCTTTACTTCAAGAAAAGGAGTTATTCAACAATGCTTTTGACTGTAAAGCCATTTGGATTTTTACTTTTCGTTTTTGGTAGATAATACTTTAGCCTTAATTTTTTTGTGTGCCCATAGAGGGCAGTAGTTCTGGAATGTATTTTTTACTCGGGACAATGATTGTCTCCTTTATCCTTTTATCTTTTGGGGGAATGGGGTAGAGTGGAGGCATTAGGCTGTTTATAAAACAGCCCACACCTGACAGAGCCTACAAATAGGAAGGGCCCAGGAACACTAGGGGGCATGAAGGAGCCCCTCCAGGATTAGAAATGATGCTTTTCCATTGGTGATTGATTGACCAAAAATTGCATGAGAAAAGAATCAGATTTTTTTCAAAGCTTTGAAACTCTCTGATCTCTTTACAGTGACACTGTAAAGTGAGGGTTCAGTTTAAATTAATTCTGCCTTTATTTAACAGTTATTTATGCCCTGGCCAGTTTGACTCAGCGTTTGGAGTGTCGGCCCGCAGACCAGAGAGTCCCAGGTTCAGTTCCTGCTAAGGGCATGTAGCTCAGTTACAGTTCGTCCCTGGCCCCGTTGGGGTTGTGTGGGTGGCAACCACGTGACATGTCTCACACTGATGTTTCTCTCTCTTCATCCCTCTCTCCCTCCTGCCCCATCTGAAGATAAATGCAAAAATGTCCTCAGGTGAGGAGTAAAAAGAAAAACTAGTTATTTACTTTTTTGCCTTTTTAAAATTTAAGGCATCTAAGAGCAGCCCCATAAAATGTTCCTGTTGAGTTTGAAAGCCTTTGTCTCGTGAATAAACTCAGTGCCGAGTTGTGACAAACAGCAGAAGGTTTTGCATATTTCTCTGTAAGAAATGCGATTCACTCATTAATGCTAACAGCTTCACTTCAAAAACATCCTAAGATTTTGTATTTATTCTATCAAAGAATCAGCCTTTTGTTTTACAACCCTCCATGTAAAACAGAAATGAAAATGAACTATTTTTAGGACTTAAGAGAAAAATCTGTCACGCAGTCTTTTAGGGAGAAAAAAAAATAACCCTGGGGGGTTTTAGAGTCTTCCCGCCTTCTATAACTCTCCCAAACACTGCCCCCCACACCCCTGCCCGCAGCCAGTGTTTTGAGCTTGGCAAGACTCAGCATAATAAATTAACATAAGAGGGTGGGAAAGAAGTGCTAGAAGTTTCTACACTGAGTACTTTGTATATACATATACATACATATATATTGGTAATAGTATTCTTTTCAGTGTATGGGTACAAAATAACCAACATCGATTATGAAATACTCCTAAATCCTGACAGAATCCACCCCAGCAAGCTAACAGGATAAAACAATCTGGCTGATAGAGCTTTTTACCTCCCCACTCTCAAGCCTTTGAAATTTTCTGTAACGAGATCTGACCTGTAAGAATTCTGCAAAGAACTTCTGCCAACTCACTTCAAAGAGAACAGAAAAAATTACAGAAATGCAACAATTTAACTTGCTGATACAGGTTTGATTTTAATCACTTCAAGTGGAACAGTGTTTTGATCTCAGTCTAATGATGGACTAATCTTGAGGAAAGCAGAGAGGCAGAGTTGCTTTGCACGTGGACAGCCAACAGGTGCTTATGCTGCCTCTCTCTACTTTGGTATATTTTACTTTCTGATAGGGCCTATTTTATAAATAATGATTAAGTCAACTCTCGACTTGGCTTTGTTATCCATAAACATTTTCTAATTGAATTCCTCAAGCGTCTACCTTAAGCTCTCTCTAGAGGTACGTGCAGACCTCTGACTCACTCTCAATACATAATCTAAAATAACCACTTACTGGTACAGAAGTCTTGTGAATGACATCAAGTTAATTTCAACACCATTTGGTTTCACTTGTCTTTGTTGCCTTAATCTTTGTGCTGTGTCCAATTTCATAGTGTTAATTATTTGGTAATGCTTACAACTAGTAGAGCTAGATATTTAGTATGCTAAAGGAAACTGCCAGATGTATCACCTTCTCAGCTATGGGGATAGCATACAAGGCTCCTTAAGAACGAGGTCACTGGGGGCAGGAGTAGTGTCTTCTGTAAGTTAACATCTTTAGGTGATTTAATAGCTAATTCCAAGTCCCTGGCGAGGGTATACCAACCTGAAGAAACAGTGGCACAAAGGCACAGCACAGAAGAGCGAAGGGAACATGGTTTTGGGCACCACTGTACACACATCTCCAGCTCAGGCACTGGCAAAGGTAAGTGCTCGATGCGTGTTAGCTACTGTGTTAGAGCGGGCACTCACAAGTACTTGCTGACTGTGCAGTGGGTTAGGAACAAGAGGCCAGGCCAGGGAGAGAGGAAAAAGGCCTTAATAATGGATAAGCTGCTGTTGCCTCCAATTTCCTCCTGTGCTAGACAAAGCCACACTGCATGACAAGGACTGAACACCCAGTAGGACTAATGTTGCATTAGCTCATTTTAACAATATATATAAGCAGGAAGTCGTGAGATGAATTTTAACAAGGCCAGTGTCGCGTGAGCCACTCTGTATTTCAGTTTTTGCAGCAGTCTCGTCACTACCAGCTCCTTACTTCCAGCAGGTGTATGTCTCCGTCAATTTCCAGCATGTCAATACTGGTCAGCTCCTGAAATCTGTGTTTGTACTCCAGGCTGTGTACACCATTCACCGCAACCTTGAATTCTTTAACGTCACAGTAAATTATCATCTGAAAGGAAAGTACACACACACCATTAATGCCTCCTTGTTTAAAAATCTGTTTCTTGTACACTAAGAATGTCTAAAAAAGTAAACCATTTGCCTTTCTTTATACACACAGAAATCTAGTCTGCTGTTGCTAATGTCCCCTCCGTGATTTCTAACCCTTAATCTAAAGTGCATCTGGTGATGGCACCTTCTGCCTTGTCTCACTAAGGAAAATGACTCCGCGTGGTTGGAGCCCTTCACTGTCCCAGGACTGTGGCCTTCCTTTCCCAGCACACGTACTCACCTGTAGCCCTCTTGCCCCTTGCTCCACAAGAAGCTGCCCTCCTAAACCAATGTTTGGGAATTCTAATGAAGTAGGAAAACTGATACATTTTTAAAATTTTATTTTTATTCCCATCACCCCACCCACCACCTTCCCTTTCGCATCTATCAGCTTGCTCTCTATACTATAGGTCTGTTTGGTTTAGTTTATTCATTTGTTTTTAGATTACACATATAAGTGGAATATATTTATTTGTCTTTTTCTATCTGACATTTCATTTAGGCCCGATACTCTAGGTCCATTTATGTTGTTGCAAATGGAAAGATTTTGTTCTTTATGGCTGAGTGGTAGTCCACTGGGTATAGGTAGCACATCTGGATCTAGCTGTCTACTGAAGGTCACTAGGTTGCTTCCCTATCGTGGTGATTACTAGTCATGCTGCAGCAGCAAACATAGGGTAAATAAACCTTTTTGAATTAGTGATTTTGCTTTTGGACAAATACCAGGAAGTGGATTACTGGATATTACACCAACTGTTTTTAATTTTTTGAGGAATCTACATACTGGAAGGACAGAAAATAAGCCTTTCTTTTTTGTTACGATTTTTCCACAATTTATGAGAAGCACCTGGTAATTAAATGCTGAGACTGCTGGCATCTCTAAATTCAACCACCTTTCTACTCAAACAATAAATAAGGGCTGTGCTTTCCGCCAGTCCCCTTCCCTGCCGTTTTTAACCCTCAAGGATAACTCCCACTGAAGTCTCTAATAGAAAGTTCCCTTCCCCCACTCCTTCAAACAAGTCTCCCTTTCCGAACTCCTTGTAACTCCTTCAGACGAGACTCCCCCTTTTCACACTCTCTGTAACTCTCTTTACTCCAAAGCATATTTTACAGACTAGAGAAGATACAATAAGAACACCTCCTGGTGCATCTGCTGAACTTTCTCCTGGAGAACAAACTGCAACTTCTCAAGGCAAACCCCGGTATCTACGCAGCTTCAACACGATCTCCCTGTCCCAACTGCCCTTTACTCCCTAAAGCCCCCAATAAAGGACAACGTTCTCTTCCCTGCCCTTGTCTTGCCAGTCAATGCATGGGTACTGTTCCTGTCACGGGGAAAGCATCACCTTTCTCCCTTTGTCTCCCCCTTCTCACTGTTGTGAATTCTTTCACAAACCCGCGTCACCAACCGAACTGTCACACACACCGTCTCCCATAGTGGCTGCACCAGTCTGCACTCCCCTCTACAGTGCACGAGTTCCCTTTTCTCCACTTCCTTGCCAACGTTTGTTTGCTATGATAGCTATTCTGACAAGTATGAGGCGATATCTCACTGTGGTTTTAATTTGTATTTCCCTGAGGATTAGTGATGTTACGCATCTTTTCATGTCTACTGGATATCTGTATATCCTCTTTCGAGAAATGTCTATTCAGGTCCTCCACTTTTTTTTTATCCTCACCTGAGGACATTTTTTGTTCAGATAGAGTGGGAGAGAGAGAGAGAGAAACATCGACGTGAAAGGGACAGAGTGGCTGCACCTGCATGACCAACCAGGACCGGGCACAAACTGCAACCGAGGCATGCGCCCTTAGCAGGAACCGAACCTGGGTCTCTCTGGACTGCAGGCCGACACTCTAACCGCTGAGCCAAACTGGCCAGGGCGGTCCTCCACTCATTTTTAATGGGATTTTTTTGGTGTTAAGCTGCATGACATGAGTTCCTTATATACTTTGGGTATTAACCCCTTATCAGGTGTATCATTTTCAAATATCTTCTCCTAATCAGTAGGTTGTGTTTTCATTTTGTTGATGGTTTCCTTTGCTATGCAAAATCTTTTTAGTTTGATACAGTGTGCTACTTGTGTGTTTTATCTTGTTTCCTGTGCCTGACAAGACATATCCAAAAGGATATTACAAAGAGCCAAAGGGTTTACTGTTTACGTTTTCTTCTAAGAGTTTTATGGTCTCAGATCTTACACTTAAAGTCTTTAATGCATTTAAATTTATTTTTGTATATGGTGTAAGAAAGTGGAGCAGTATCTTTTTGTTTTTGTTTTTGCATGTATCTGTTCATTTTTCTCAACATTTACTGAAGAGACTATCTGTACCCTTGCCTCCCTTGTCATATATTAATTGACCATATATGGTAAGTTTTATTTCTGGGCTCTCTATTCCATTGACCCATGTATCTGTTTTTATGACAGTACCATGCTGTTTTACTGTATCAGGGAGCATGATACCTTCTACTTTGTTCTTTCTCAAGATTTCTCTGGCTATTCAAGGTCTTTTGTGGTTCCATATAAAGTTAGGATTAGTTGTAGTTCTGAGAAGAATCCCACAGGGATTGCATGAATTCTATATATCGCTTTAGGTAGTAAGGACATTTTAACAATATTAATCCTTCCAGTCCATGAGCAAAGTATATCCTTCCACTTATTTGTATCTTCGGTTTCTTTCCTCAATGTCTTATAGTTTTGTTTTGTTTTTGGTACGTGCCCCTAGCGGGAACTGAACCCAGGACTCTCTGGTCCGCAGGCTGGCGCTCCAACTGCTGAGCCAAACCGGCCAGGGCAATGTCTTACAGTTTTGAGAGTACTGGTCTTCCACATCTTTGGTTAAATTTATTCCTAGGTATTTTATACTTTTGACGCAATTGCAAATGGCATTGTTTTCTTGATTTCTCCTTCTGGTCGTTTGTTATTGGTGAGTAGAAATGCAACAGATTTCTGTATATTGAATCTGTGCCCTGCAACTTGAATTTATTAGTTTTAATACATTTTCAGTAGAGTCTTTAGGTTTTTCTATATATAATATCATGTCATCTGCATATGATGAGACTTTTACAATTCTTCCTTTCCCATTTGGATGCCTTTTATTTCTTTGTTGTCTGATTGCTATGGCTAGAATGTCCAGTAGTGTTGAATAGAAGTGGTAATAGTGGGCATCCCTGTCTTGTTCCTGACCTCAGAGGAAAAGCTTCTGGCTTTTCACCATTGAGTATTGGCATTAGCTGTGAATTCGCCTTTCTTATGTTGAGATATTTTCCTTCTATACCCACTATGTTGAGAGTTTTTATCATAAAAGGATGCTGAATTATATCAAAGGCTTTTTCTTCATCTATTAAGATGATCATTTGGTTTCTTTGCTTTATTTTGTTAATATGATTCATCACGCCCTGGCCAGTTTGGCTCAGCGGTTAGAGCGTCGGCCTGCGGTCTGGAGAGACCCGGGTTCGGTTCCCGCTAAGGGCATGTACCTTGGTTGCAGTTTGTCCCCGGCCCTGGTTGGTCGTGCGGGTGGCAGCCACTCGATGTGTCCCTTTCACATCGATGTTTCCCTCTCTCTCTCTTCCTCTCTCTCCCTCCCACTCTGTCTGTACAAAAAATGGAAAAATGTCCTCGGGTGAGGATAAAAAAAAAAAAAAAAAAAAAATATGATTCATCACTTAATTTATTTACAGATATTGAATCATCCTTACATCCTTGGATGAACCCACTTGGTCATGGTGTATAATCCTTTCAATATGATTGAATCTCGTTAATATTTTGTTGAGAATCTTTGCATCTATGTTCAGCAACGACATTGGCCTGTACTTTTTTATTTGTAATGTCTTTGTTTTTGGCATCATGGTAATGCTGGATTTGTAGAATGAGTTTGGAAGTGTTCCTTCCTCTTCAATTTTTTTGAAAGAGTTCAACACAGATATTAATTCTTCTTTGAATGTTTGATAGAAATCACCTGTGAAGCCATCTGGTCCTGAAATTTTAATGGTGAGGAACTCCTTTAGTTTTGTTTGTTCTGGAAACTCTCTACCTCTCTCCTTCAGTTCTGAATGTTAACCTTGATGGGTAAATGGTTATAGGTGCCTTTCTTTCAGCACTTTAACAATGTCCTGCTGCTCCCTTCTGGCCTGTCAAGTTGCTACTGAGAAATCATCTGATAACCTTATGGGGTTTGCTTTTATATATGTAACTTGTTGTTTACCTGTTCCTTTCGATACTGACTCTGTCTTGAACTTTTGCCATTTTAACCATAACCTGTCTTGGTGTGAGTTTCTTTGTTTATTGAGTTTGGAACTCTCTCTGTGCTTCATGGTCCTGGATGTCTATTTTCTTTCCCGGTGAGGAAAGTTTTCAGCCATTATGTCTCTCAACAGTTTTTCTTTCTTTCACTCTTTCTCCTTCTGGGACCCCTATAATGCAAATGTTTGAGTGATTGGCGCTATCCCAGAAGTCTCTTAAGCCATCCTTGTTGTTTTTTTATTCCTTTTTGTTTCTGCTATCCTGTTTGGTTGATTTCCACTAATGTCTTCTAGGTCACTGATCCGTTCCTCTCCATTAGGTAATCTACTGTTGGTTCCTGCTGTGTTTTGCATTTCTGTTACTATATTCTTCAGGTATGCTTGTTGGGTCATTATTATACTTTCTGACTCTTTGTTAAAGTTCTTCCTCAGTTCCTCTATTCCACTCTCAAGTTTGTGAGCATCCTTATGACCACTTCTTTGAAAACTTCATCAGGCAAATAACTTATTTCCATTTCCTTAGGGTGTCTTTCTGGAGGTTTATCCTGTTCCTTCATTTGAGAGATACTTTTCTGTCTTTTCATTTTGTTTTGACTATGTTTATTTATATGAATTTGGCAAAGTAGCTATCTCTTCCAGTGTTGTAACAGTGGCCTTATATAGATTCAGCCTCTCTGTAGGCTGTATCCAGTGATTCTGGCAGTTTGGTAGGAGCCAACTGGGTGCCTACTGAGTCCGGAGCACTGATCAATAGAGGAGAAATGACTCTGGGTGGGAGGCTACATGCACGTAGTAATACCGTTGATCCTCCTCACTCCCTTTGTTCACTGGTTTATGGCTGTGTGTCCAGGAATATGCTGCAGCAACCTTGCTGGTAGGTAAGAGCACTTGGAAAGAGCTTCTACCCACCCTATGGAGGGGGAGGGGTATGTAAATAGTGGCCAACATTGGCACCTCTAACTCCAGAGAACTCCCACAGCTCTCCAGCCTTCTCTGTACTGTCTTTCTCTTGTTTGTTGGACTACAAGTGGTCTTGTGTAGAAGTGACCTCTGTGTATGTAGGCTTTAGTACGCCAGGTAGTTTTGGAAGCTGGTTGGAGCTGGGCAGGTGTTTAATGGCACTGGATTTTCAGGCTGGCGTGGCTTTCAACAGGAAGGCCAGGTGCATGTGCTCGTTCCCTCTGGAGGCAAAGGGCTCTGGGCACTGTAGTGGGGAATGTGGTGCAGTGCTCCTGCAGGGACCAAAGCACTGCCTTATCAAAGTGCAGGGGACATAAATAATGGTGTTCACCAGCTCCTCCAGCCAGGAGAGTTCCTGCAGCTCCTGGGCAGTTCCCGTGGTTTCTCAGCCTTCTCTAATAGGTCTCTTTCTTGTTTGTTGGTCAGAAGCTGTTCAGTCAGCCTTCAGTTGTCCTGCGGGATAACTGCTCATATATATTCAATTACTCTTGAGATGAGGCAAGTTAAGCATTGTCCTGCGCTGCTGCCATCTTGGACCTCCAAAAGCTGCTGATATCTGACCCTCATTCACAGAGGAGGTGATTCCAACACAGGCTGGGAAACAAGGGACTTGGATCCTTTTCTGTCTCAAACTCGAGGATCACTGACCAATCAGACAAATTTCAAAAATGTAGGGCAACTGCTAGGGACTGCACCACTGCCTGGTGGCCCTCATTGCCATCCCAGTTCAGCATATCCTGGCCTCCATCTGTTTCTCAAAAGCTCTTCAAAGCTCAGTATAGTCTATGAACCTATGGAGTAGTTAACATTCTGGCAGAGATTCAGTTCAGATTTATCACTGGTGTTTTCCCTTCAGAATTATTTGCCTAAAACTCAAAACAGTAAAAATCCTAAAGAAACTACTACCCTTTTACATCACTTCCACCTAAACCTCATGTTTCTGGTATCACATCCCAATGCCAGTCTGGCTCCTGCTTCTTCCATTTGTTTTCTTCCCACACTGAAGAGGCCCGTCTGGTGAGCCTGCATGGTGTCCCCTGTGCTCCTGGCCTGCACCAGGGCTACAGAAGACCAGAAAGGAGCAGCATAGCTTTGCTACTAATCTGCCCATCCCGAGGCCAAGCTCACAGAAAAATCTTTATCTGCAAAAAAGCAAATAGAGTATTTTTACTCTTTTTTTGTTGTTGTTTCTTAATCCTCATCAAGGATATCTTTTCACTGATTTTTTAGATAGAATGGAAGGGAGGGAGGGAGGAAGGGAGAGAAAGAGAAAAACATCGATGTGAGAGAGACTTACCGATCAGTTGCTTCCAACACAACCCTGACCAGGGCTAGGGATCAAACCTGCAACCTAGGCACATGCCCCTTGACCGGGAATTGAACCTGCAACCCTTTGGTCCGTGGGATGATCCTCTAACGGCTGAGCCAAACCAGCCAAGGCAAGTATCTTTTTTTTTTTTTTAACCTCACCTGAGGACATTTTTGCATTTATCTTCAGATAGAGTGGAAGAGAGAAGGGGGAAGAGAGAAACATCGACGTGAGAGAGACATCAACAGGTTGCCACCCACACGACCCCAACTGGGGCCAGAGACAAACTGTAACTGAGGTACGTACCCTTAGTGGGAACCGAACCCAGGACTCTGGTCCGCAGGCCTATGCTCTAACCACTGAGAAAACCAGCCAGGCAAGTATCTTTATTCTTGATAGGACTAGTAGAAATGGTTGCTGGAAAATTCCACAGAACCTAGAGCTGACAGAAATCAAGGCTCTCTGGTAATATAGACAATTGGGAAAAATAATGCTGTAGAAATCCCAGTTTCAATCAGGTGGAAGGGACCTTTGGTAAGGTACATTTAACAAGATTTTAGGAAACCACAAAACACAGCTTCATGCTCTCAGAAGCAAAAACAAGTGGCATCAGATGGATGCAGCGGGAAAGAGTCAGCTATATCAAAGCAAGAGCAGAGCCAATGCATGGCAGGCAAAAGGAGAAGAGGTGGCACGTGCCTAGTGGAACACAGTGTCAAAAAACAAGGGAAGTATGTAACCTGGAAGAAAACATGGAACAACAAAATCCCTCACAACCATCTGAGATTACAGGAAAGCTGACAACATGAAAATGGTTAAAAAAAAAGGTCACAGGTGAAATTACAAAGCAAAGATATTTTAATACATACATTTGAAAAGACAAAAATGATCCAACACGAGGATAACTGTTTCTGAAGTAGAAAACTAATAAAAAGACGATTATTTAAAAGAATTGATTATCACTGTCCTTTTGTATTTGATTACAGTAGTTCTAAACTGGGGCTCAGATCACCACCCACAAGGACCTCCTTCCTTCTTCGGCATTCAGCCCTGCCTCCCTCCTGCCACATCAACAAATCTCATGCTACCCCTGCCCTCCTCCAATGACTTGTTCAGATCACTGTATCTGGAAAACCCAACTTGACTTCAACCTTCCACATCCTTCTCAATTCCAAACCAATAGTCATAACTTCTATGATCAGCTCACATCTGTTTGTTTCTCCACATGCAGGGCACATAGACTACAATTTAGGAATATCAACCTCTGATCGCCATCTTCTACGCAGCCTTGATTTTTATGCTTTTAAAAACTAGTTTTGATGCTTCCTTAAGAACTCAAATGGTCCAGACCCAGAGACTGTTTACGATGTTGCAGAAGCACGACCTAAATCAGTGACCCTAAAATGCCCTGTGTAGCAGTGTCACCTGAGCTAATGAGCGAATCTAGCCAATCACCCAGCATCTGCATGCTCAACATTCCAGAAACATTTGGAAAGGGTTATGTTTTCATAATATTCACACATTTGGGGACTCAAGACTACATGCCTTCAAGTTCCAATGGTCTAAATGTATCTTTTCTTGAATATACACAAACAGGACAAATTTCTTGGGAGAAAGGACTACCACCTAAAGCCATGTGTAACCAACAAAGACGACGACACAGTGTAGGAAGTTGGCTGGTTCCTGTGTCTTCACATCCACTGGTTATTAAGCATATTACTACAGGACCGGGACAAGGTTCCTGTTATAATTCCTATTAACTATTATGAGGCTACACAATTTTCAGTTTGACAACAAATGTCCAATAATTCCAATGCAAATACTGTGGTACTCTACTGGCTTTGCCATTTGCACTGACTTTGTTATAAAAGGGGCTTTCAAAATACAATCTCGAAATAAAAAACATACACAAATCTCCACAGGACTTGACTGATTTGCATGGACCGTTTACCTCACCCCTGCTCCCAAGATTCTTTTCCTTAACCCATTTTCAAAAAACATAATCTTACCTCAAAGTACATTCCAGGACTAAAGGGGAAACAGGTAATATTTCTCTCTTCTTCTCCCCAGGACTCCTGAAGAAAAGAATTTCTTACAAATGCTTTACTCTTCAGGCGTGGGTTCAAGTGGAGAGCAATATCCTTTGATTTTCCAGATAGTAGGTCAACATTAAAGCTTTTAAGAGGAAAAAAATAATTAACCAAGTAGATGAGAATAGAGCATGTTCTGAAATTTTAACAATCAGAACTGAACTCTGATTATAACTACACAAAAATACATTTGCATATGGATACGGGAATACAGGAAGGTAAAACTTTAAATTCCAAGCTAACATTCCATAGATATAAGTATGTTATTTGCAAAATAACAACTAAAAAAAAACTTTAAAATCAATGTTGAGTGTACAGATCTGACTGGGAGGAAACTGAAAGGTTAGAAGGAAAAAACCAAGTGGTTTCTCCAGGCTGCAGGAGCAGGGATTCTCTTCTCACACTTATATGTGTTCGGTTCCTGGAAGAGTACTTCTTTCTAGGAAATACTCTAATTTCAAGCTTTCTGAAATCCGAACATCTCTGGAGGTTTTTAAAGCAGAAACTTTATAAGTTACATGACAAGAAGGGCCCTAACAAGACTTACAGGACCTCACAGAACTGTCCTGAAGTTCTACAAGGCAAGGAGGGGCCTCGCGGACAAAAATGCCACCCTCTTGTCTGGCCATAAAAAGCATAGGTCAGACGATACAATTTAGTCCTGGTTCTGCCACCGACTAGTTGTTGGCAGTCTAACTTCCTCTTGCTTTCATATACTTATGAAATGAGTATTATGACACTAGCCCTACTTGTATCTCACAAAGACTGTTAACTCAGTGATACCGACCCTTTGGCATTTGTATTCACTTCTCCTTTAATGACGACAGTCCGTCCAGGGCCCATTGAGGAGTTCAACCTCGCCACGAATGGCAGAGTCTGAAAAGAAATCACAGTCAGCACCAGGAAGCCTGCAGAACAGGATCTCATGGGGGAAACTGTCCAAACACTGGGCGATGCTTAAAGGCTGTGACTGTAAACCCCATGAAAGGATAGCCTGTGTCTGCCTTGGTCCCAGACGGGTCCCCAGCAGTAAACGCTGTGCCTGGCTCACTGCAAACACTTCATGAAATGAATAGATATGGAATGGGACCTGATATCCTTTGTATGAGTGAAACTCACTCTGAAAAGACGTGTACTTGGGGTCTGAAGCACTGCTCCTGTTCTGCCTGAAGAGCAGCAGTGAGGGAAACACACACTAATGGCTCCTAGACGTAACGGTCCAGGGACAGCGTATAAATGTCAGGTGGCTGCTTTGGGCTTCTACTGAGGGTAGAAGTAACATTTACCAGCAAATTAAAACTTAATTTGTGATACAGAATTAAGAAAAATTTGGGCTCTTCAAACCTTTGACAAACAGTTGATAGGTAGTATTTTGGCGCAAGTCAAAGTGTGATTGGCAGTCGAACCTTTGCTCTTGGTGTAGACAGTTCTGGGTACGATTTTATCAATGTCTCCTCTATAACTAGGCTGTAGGGAAACAGTTCTGCAGTAAGGTATGGAATGAATGAAGCTGTCTTCCAAAATTTAAACTATTTGCTTCCTGGGCAATTTTATAAAATGTTCTACATATTACAAGCAAAAATACTTACATATTGTGACATGCCAGCATTTTGTACCTATTGAAAGAGAAAGACAAAATGAGGACATCTGAGAGGAAAGAACTGTAGCGTTGTACAGTATGAGGAGCTGCGTCTTACTGGTTATACTGATCCAGGCGGTGACGCTAGGCACCAGAGCGTCAGGATGCTGTGGTACGGAGTCAGAAAGGGCTACTCAGGCTAGGAGTACAGTATGAACCCTGTATCCTCCCCTGTAATTTACTAATTTTTCATAGGAGCTTCGAACACATTTATTTTATTTTTTAATTTTTTCTTTATTGATTTGAGAGAGAGGGGAAAGAAGAGGGAGAGAGACAGAAACATCGATGAGAAAGAACATCGACTGGCCGCCTCCTGCACACCTCGCACTGAAGATCAGGCCCACAGCCTGGGCATGTGCCCTGACCAGGAATCAAACCTGCGACCTCTTGGTGTATAGGTCGATGCTCAACCACTGAGCCACACCAGCTGGGCAGAAACACATTTATTTTAATCCTCACCTAAGAATATGTTTTACTGATTTGAGAGAGAGGAAGGAAGAGCAAGAGACATCAATGTGAGAGACAAACATCAATCAGTTGCCTCCCATACATGACCCAACTAGGGATCAAACCCATAACCTTTTTGGTATACAGGATGATGCTCCAACCAAATGAGCCACCAGCCAGGGCCAAACACATTCTACTTGTTCTCTCCAGGGTGCTCCGTAAGTGCGGAGCTTAAATTCTACTTATGAGGTACAAATGTGCTGAAATCAATAAAACCTCACTTGTTCCATCAGTAACAGATAACAGAAAGCCAATGTTTAAGCCATACTTTCTCCTAAGGGGGGAAGACACGTGGAAGTTCACTCCCCAATGCACTGAGAGTGGCACTGCCTCATGCAGTACTAGTCACTCAACATTCTACACAGAACGGCGGGCACTGGGCAGACACACTGATCATTTCAGCACCAGCAAAACGTACAGTGCTTGATGCCTCAGATGTTGCCTCAATTTCAAATGATTACTTCCAGCCTATTAATATTAAAAACAATTTTCCATATTGAAAACATGATTACAAAAAACTGAGCCTGCCTGCCATCTGATTGACATGGCAACTAAATTAGTATTTTTAACTGGTGGTTTAAGAAAAGATTTAATACTTACATTTTCTCTACTTATCTCTGTCAGTTCCAGAGTAGATGCTTGGGAACTTCTTAAATCCTGAAGAAAAGATGAGATTAATTTTTAACATCCATAAAATTCCAGATATAACCTGCTTGACATATCAAAAAGAATTATAAATGGGACTAAAAATATACTTGAAAATTGTGCTTTAATCTATTTGAAGGGCAAGTTAGCAGTATCAACCCTAACTTAAAATGCAGATACCCCTTGGCTCATACATCCACCTGAAGAAACTATCTTAGAAACACACTCCACTGTAGTCCTGTGTCAAGGAAATAACCCCCATCTAGATAAAAAGGGTTTTTGTTAGAACCACACTAGACTTGAGAGCCTATGGACAATAAATAGCATCAGGAGGTCCAGATGGTGCCAGTGGAGGACACTGAACTCACCCCTCCTATGAGCAAACTCAAATGCACACATACATGGAGAGCAGTGACTCCCATTAGACAACTGAGGGCAGAATGAACAGTTTCTGAACAAAGAAGAGAAATAGACCAAATGGAGAGGCTGGGAAACCAGAGGCCTTCAAGGAGCTGTGGGAACTCAGGGCCAGAGGAGCCCATGAGCACCATTGTTTTGGTCCCCTCCATTTTAATAATGTACAGTTCTATCCAGTTCTGGCCGACCTGCAGTAGCACTGCAGCAAATCCCCATCTACTAGGCCTGGAGCCTTGACCTCCAAAGAGAGCAAGCAGCCACAACAGAATGTCTCACACCATACTGGGCCTTCCTCCTGAGAGCCACTCCAACCAGCAAGCCAGAGCCCCAGGTGCAGTTAAGCACCTAACTAGCACCAACCAGCTTCTAAAACTACCAGGCACATAAAGCCCACATGGAGGTCACTTCTATGCAAGACCACTTTCTGTACAACAAACAAGAAAAAACTGTACAGAGAAGGCTGGGAGCTGTGGGAAATTTGCAGGACTACAGAAATTCTCCGGGGTCAGAAGTGCCCCAGATCACCCATGTCTATCTCCCTCCACTTCCACAAGGGGAAGGGATAGGGTAGGCTCTACCCAGGTGCTCTACCTGCAAGGTCGCTGCAGCACTTCAAGAGGTACCTCACCCGTCAGCCCTAAACAAAAGGAGCAAGCAGGATCAACAGGGTGTGACAAGATATACTTGGCCTCCCCACCTGCAGCCACTCTAGCTCCACAGACCAGTGTCCGGGACACAGTAGGTACCCACTTGACTCTCACCTGCCAAAACTACCAGGCACACACAGCCATACAAAGGTCGAATCAATATGAGACCACTTTTTCAAGACTGGAAGAGAAAAATATTTTGTCAAAATCGCATGAACAAACATGGACAGACAAACAAAACAAAAAGAACAGTATCTCTCAAATGAAGGAACAAGAAAAAACTCCAGAAAAACACCCTAAGGAAATGGAGATAAGTAATTTGCCTGATGAAGTTTTCAAAGAAGCAGCCATACGGATGCTCACCAAACCTGGGAGTGGAATAGAGGAACTGAGGGAGAACTTCAACAAAGCATTAGAAAGTATAATACAGACACAACAAACATACCTGAAGAATGTGGCCCTACATCAAACTAAAAAGTTTTTGCACTGCAAAGGAAACCATCAACAAAGTGAAAAGACAATCTACTGATTGGGAGAAGATATTTGAAAACAATACACCTGATAAGGGGTTAATATCCAAAGTATTATAAGGAACTCATGCAGCTTAACACCAAAAACTAAACAATCCAATTAAAAAATGAGTAGAGGACCTGAACAGACATTTCTCCAGAGGACATACAGATGGCCAACAGACATATGAAAAGCTGCTCAACATCACTAGTCATCAGAGAGATGCAAATTAAAACCACAATGAGGTATCACCTCACAACCATCAGGATAGCTATCGTCAATAAATCCACAAACAAGTGTTGGTGAGGATGTGGAGAAAAGGGGACCCTTGTGAGCTGGTAGTGGAATTGTAAATTTGTCAGCCACTATGGAAAATAGTGCAGATTCCTCAAAAATTAAAACTAGAACTACAATATGCCCCAGCAATTCCAGTTCTGGTATGCATCCAAAGAAACACACAACACTAATTGGAAGTTATATTCACTCCTAAGTTCATTGCAGCATTACTTACTGGGAATGGAAGCAATCTAGGCATCCGTGGATAGATGAATGGATACAGAAGAGGTGGAACATATATACAATGGAGTATTATTCAACCATAAAAAATAATAAAATCTTGCCATGTGTGACAACATGGATGGACCTAGAGGGTATTATGCTAAGTGAAATAAGTCAGACAGAGAAAGACAAATATCGTATGATTTCACTTATATGTGGAGTCTGAAAAACAAAACAAAAGAAATGAGTAAGGAAAAATAAACAGAAACAGACCCATAGATATAGAGAGCAAGCTGATGGTTGCCAAAGAGGAGGGGCCAGGGAGATGGGAATAAAGACATAAAATAATTTTCAAAAGTAGTAAAGAAGGCAAGGCAGGATTACAGAACTAAAAAATAAAAATAAATAGGCCTCACAGAAAAGCAGGTCAATTTGCTAAATGACTAATTTACACAAAGTCAGTTCACAGAAAATAAACAGAATCCTACTAGTTTTAAAAGATTTACTTCCAACAATTAATGCACTAATAGGATATTTACTTTATCTTAATAGAAGATGTTAATTAAAGATGTTCCATCCCATTCATCAGAAAACATCATCAAAGAAGGCCCCACAGTATGGAAGGGCACTCACCGAGCTGAAGCTGAAACCAACTGAGTGAATATTCACTTTGCCGTAAATGCCCAGAGTGTCTATTTTCTCAATGCTAATCCTGTGGGCGTAGAGCAGTATATGTTTTCCATTTACAGCCACCTAGATGGACACAGAACACCCCCCCCACCAAAAAAAACCATTTAGTTAATAAATTAATTTTATTAATTTACCCAAACTGAAATCTGTTTACTTGGGTTTCATTTTATCCCCTTTCCCGCAGGGTTCCACTTTATGCGCCTGACCAGATGGCGACTGAAAGCGTCACACCACCAGCAGTGCTTATCTTCTTTTGACTTCCTGATCTGATTCAATGCCATGGATCCTTCTCTCCACACCAGTCACATATGCATGCTCATATGTGAGCATGCATGTGTGTATCTGTGCATAAATCTGAGACCTCCTGGGATTCAGAGGCCCCGGAGAGCTGTAAGCCCAGGAGAGATCTGCCCTGCAAGCTCACTACCCTCCCGAGAGTTACCACAGTGCACATGGCAGGCACTCAGTCAACATCTGGTACACATGGGCAAGTTCCCCAACTTCTTGGAGATTGCTATTTGTGAGCAGGAAAATACTCTCGCTCAAAGGGCCGCTGTTGTGAGGTGATGAGGCCACTGGTGAATCCCAGTATGGCCTGAAGCAGAGCAGGTGTCCAGCACATAGTTACTTTCCCTCCCTCCCATTGCCAGGTCCTGTCGTGGGGAAAATAAGAAAACACACGCAGAATACAGTATGGTCTCTAAGCTAAAGGAGCTTAAAATCCCAGTTGTGGACAAAATAAACACAGGAATAAACTAAAGCACAACAGTACAGGAACAAGTGCTGAAAGGTCAGAGGAGGGAGGGGTGAATGGAATTCAGGAGATTTAGGGGTGATGCTCTGGAGGCCAGGAAGGACCCACACTGGGGATGGGAGAATCTTCTCTCGAAGAGGATGGGTCTGCAGCCTGGGAGGCTCCACAGGCATGAAGGTGAGCAGCGGAAGAGCCTCTGGGACCAAATTTACGTCACACACATGCAAAAGATACAAAATGCTCGTGGAAGCAGTGATGGTATTTCTACATGCAATATTTCTGAGATCTCTGGGTCTAAAAATCTCATGACCCTAAAGAACTATCTTGTGGCAGGACCTAACTTCAAATGGGATTCTGACTTCTACTCTCGGGTTCCCCAACTGTCCTTTAGTCCTAGATTCCCCCACACTTTGGATCATCATGGTGGTTATAATTTACTAACCCATAATTAATATAGTGCTGTGCCAATTCAGAACTAAGTTTAGCCCTGCTAGGAGAAAACAATCTAATAAAGAACTGTGGCTGCCCAGGACCCGAATTCCACAAGGGACCACTAGGCAGGAGATAGGAGCTGCACCCACCTCCTCTGTGGTACCTGCCTGGCCCCTACACTGAGAAAAATGATAAAGACAGACTCTCTTTGGACTTAAGAAATATAAGGGTGAGTTCACTACTGTGAAAAAGCTTCTTGTGCACTTATTCTCATTAATGAGGATTCAACTTTCATTCTCCAAAACCTACCTGAAATTTGTCTTTCAGAACCATAATCACAATTTCAAAAGACTTTTCCTTTTGGAAAGGCATGTCGTAGGTGATCTCTTCCCGGCCCCATTTTTCATTTTTCAGAGTATTGCAAACAATGCAGTTGACCCTTTTGAAACGTGGATTGAAGTGAAAGATGACGTCAGCTCGAGGTTTCACACTGTTGCCACACTGTAAGTCCACCTGGAATCTGTGTGAGGAAAGAAACAGGCCCCCTGAGCACTTAGAGAGGAAGGCTGCGGGAAGGGCCCAGAGCAGGAGAATCCAGGCTGAGTAATACATGTCTGATCCTGTCATTCACCCACGTGCCCTAACTACCCTTCCTTTGCTTAGTCCTTAGGAACAGACTCCTGAGCTGTAGCTGGAGCCGCATCTGTCCAGGAGTCTCCGTCCTCCAGCCTCCCTTGCAGGCAGGCACGCTCACGTGGTAAAGTTCTGCCAAGGTGGGAGTCAAGGAAGTGTTCAGGGAAACTACTGGAAACTGCCTTAAAAGTCAAGTGGCATCTGCCTTTTGTCCACCCTCTGCTCCTCCCTGCAAACAGCACACGTGTCCACCCAGCTACCCCAAAACACGTAAGGGCTAGAGTTGTAGCGTCAAGAATCACGGAAAAGAGGACCTCGCCCTGGGACAGCAGAGCAGACAGCCAGAAGAGGCCTGCTTCTCCAAGACTTGATGGAGCTGCCTTCAAACTCCTGGGCTGTCTCTTTTAGACCCGACTTCCTATCTCATTTAAACCACTATTATGTGGGTGGCGGCCCAACTCTAAAAGATACGGCCTCATCCAGGTTGTACCCGAAGCAAGCATTGGATAAAACTACCCAAACAGATGTTAAGAGATGCTGTGGGACTGTGACCCTGTAACTGGACCCTGTCCCTGTCATCTGACCATGGTCCCTCGTTAACCATATATCCAATTTTTTATAATGAGATCAGACTTATAGCAATAAAATAAAAAATCCAAGTAGCCTTTATTTCAGTCACTCAATCCAAACCCAGCATCTGGGCCAGGATGCTGATGAAAGCAAAATCAGGCCTCAAATACTAAAATGTCTCTCCCATGTTATTTTTTTTAATCCCCACTGGAGGATATTTTTCTATTTATCTTCAGATAGAGTGAGACGGAAGGAGAGAAAGGAAGAGAGAGAGAGAGAGAGAAACATCGATGTGAGAGAGACATATTGACTGGTTGCTTCCTGTCCAACCTGACCAGGGCTGGGGACCAACCACAACCGAGGTTATATGCCCTCGACCACAAGCGAATCCGAGACTCACTGGTCCGTGGGCCAACACTCTAACCGTTGATCCAAACCGGCCAAGCCTCTCCCACATTATTTTTCATTGTTCCATACTCACAGAGAGACAGTTTATTCATGTTCTTTTTCATTTAATACAACGATTTTACCTGTCCGAATCACCAGGAACATGTCCACGTATTACAATCAAAGTTCCAGGCTCCAACTGCTCAGGAATGGTCCCAACATAGGGGATTATCTGGGAAAAATAATTTTAACAAATGTACTTTTACATAAAATTGAAAGACAACATTTTTATCACATGTAAAACTGTTCACATAGCATTTTCCAAGTTGTCCTCACTATTCAAACAGCTACACAATATCTGCAGCCCTGGCCAGATAGCTCAGTTGGCTAGAGTGTCACCGTACTCCAAGGTTGAGGGTTTGATCCCCTGTCAGGGCACATATAAGAAGAAACCAATGAATGCAAAAATAAAGGGAACAACAAGTCGATGTTTCTCTCTCTCAAATCAATCAATACTTTAAAAAATATATATATCTACATAATACCTGCAAATATTTATTTGGGAAAAGACACAAGATAAATACTATTTATGATTATTTTCTGGGGGTTTTGTGGGAAAAAAACAACTTCCACCGAACAGATTGATTCTGACAACAGAAAACACAACTTGTTGCAACGCTGTGCCTTCCAGCCCACTAAGCAGCAGGATCAAGACTGCGCCAGGCCCTAGGCCAACGCTGATGGAGATGAGCATACTAACTGCCTGTGGAGGGGGCTCATCCACACCTGGGATGTGACTGCCTAATCCGGGCTTCCAGACTGCAGCCCACACCACACTGCTGGACATCAGAGAACTCTGTGCCTGTGGATTTCTCAAGGCACGGCTTCCACCGACCTTGACCTGGTCCATCTGTGGGCTTGGGCTCCAATGGCTGTTTCCACATAGTATTTGGGTCTCAATCTGCCCCCTTATCACCTGAAACCTAGCCTTTCTGTCGTGAGGCTGACACACTAAGACCTCGTCACTCCCCCTTGCCTACGGTGACTCTATTGGCCGGGGACCTGTGCTGTGTGGGTTGCATCTCCTGACTCACCACCATCAGGGCCCTCCTTCTTCCACTTGGGAGCATCTGGCCAGACATCAGCATGCCTTATGCCAAGCTCACCTGAGCTGACATATGTTACAATCTATCTGAGGTAGCTCTGATCGTCAGGATATAAATAAAACAAGAGGGGCTTGTTGTAAATGGGTGGCTTGTAGCTGAAAACCTCAGCTCAAGTGTACTCTCCTCTGTGGAGCCTTTTTCAGACTCCCTGGGCCAGCTGAGGGGCCATCACAGCACTGTGTGCTCTGTCCACTGCACACATCTCTGCCTAGAGTGTGAACTGCATGGAGCAACACTGGGTTATCATCACCTTTACATCCCCAGGACAGGTCCAGAGATGATCAATGACCATGTGGTGAATGAATGAGCGAGCTCTCACTGCCCAGAAACAGCTCTGGCAGGCCTCTCAAGACAAGTGAGCAGTAAATAAGCAGCTGATGCATAGCAAGTGTTGCTGCCTTAAGCAATAAGATAAGACATTTCCAAAACCAGTTACCATCTGGTGTCATGACAACTGCTGAAGGCAGGGTGGGTGGGATGAACAGACCTGTGCCACTAGAAACTGAAAACACGAGATGTACTGGGTGGTTACAGACACACAGCAGAGGGGTAAGGTTTTGTGTGTAGAGAATGTGTGGAGTCACACCTCACACTGGTCTTTTGGACCACAGCCCATTCCAAGAATAGGTGGTAGCATCTCCCATAGGGTAAATCTCTTAATAAAATGAGAACAGTTTTTGTAACTTCAAATTTTATATATATTCTATTATATTTATGAAGACTATTTAATAACACAAAAATGTTAGTGATATAGTGAGAAAGCCTACAAAACTATCTACAATATAATCTTAAGGTAATAAACATTATCTTAAGTTATAATAAACATTAAAAAGAAGTGTAAAGAAATAGGCCAAAAATTATTTCTACAATAAGCATTTATATTTTTATAACCACAGTTTAAAATCATGTATTAAATTTTAAGGTTGTAAAGCTGAAATATTTGGCCATTTGCCATTTTATGTATTTATTTTAAACTGTTTTTATTGATTTTTTAGAGAAAGAGATAGAAACATCGTTGTGAGAAACATCAATCAGCTGCCTCCTGCACGCCTTCTACTGGGGATTGAGTCCGCAACCCGGGCATGTGCCCTGACTGGGAAGTGAACTGGGACCTCTCAGTCCATGGGACGATGCTCAAGCCACTGAGCCACACGGGGAGGGCTGACCATTTGCCATTTTAATTGTTTGGATTAATGTTCTCTACTTTGTAAAGTACCCTAAATTACATCAGTAATGCTCAGCTTTTTCGGACCACGTAAGACAAAATGCCCTGCAGCCCGCTCACTCAGCTCATTGCTATTTGTTTCTGTGAAAAGGAGGAGAAGGGAATTATTTTCCAGGCAACTCCAAGCTTTGGTGCTTTATGTTTCACCAATAATTAATATATGTAAAAAATTAAGAGATATGATCACATTGGAGATAATACTGTAAGTTTAAGCCCTAGTTAGGCTTGGTGTTACTTGCCAAAACTTCCTAGCTAATTATTTTTTAACGATGACTTATGTGCAAGGATATCCTTTAGGGAGACTACAACTAGAAAGGAGTAAGAGAGTCCTGTGTGTAAGAAGAAAAGCGAAGACCCATGGAAAGACACTGAGTGAAATGGGGTACACTTTGTTTAGCTGTTCAAAACCAAATCTTCCCTACCTGGAAAAGCTCCTACCTAGGAACACCAGCCCTCATCTAGACCTCAGTGAGGGCCAAGCCATACAAAGCAGCTCTGGCAATCAGCACCCCAGCTTAGAAGACGTGAAGTGAGAAGTAGTGACAAGAAGAAGCCAGAATCATACAGTATTCGCTGTGGCAAGGGGGTAGCAGCTACACCAGGGTCAGCAGTGGTAACAGATGTCTCTTCATGGGAACAGTTCTCGGGAACATGCTGCTGGGTGCTGTCTGTGACTAGCTGGCAAATCAGTGGTTCTTCCATCCTGCTAGAGATTCTGAGAACTACAGTATCATTTAATAAATTAGTTTTGGCATAGAGATTGGCTTCTGTGCTTGCAACTACAAACCCAGACTAATTTAGCATCTGAAATAATGGGCAGTAAGTATCAAATAAATGCATCAGAAAAATTATAAGGAATCCTAATTGAGTTGGTGAAAGAAAGTTTATGAAACAGGTATGATCTGAGTTGGGAAAATAGTGTTAGGCAGACAGCAGGAGAAAGTCAATTCAGGTAGAAATGACAGTTTACAAAAGCAGAGGGGCAGGAAAAGACAGAACGTCTAGGAGACAGCAGTAAGGGAGCAGTTAAAGACTGAGTTAGGGTCAGATGCTAGACTAACATAATGAAAGTGGGCTTTGGTAACAATAGTCCAGTGGGCACATGATCTGGGAGACAATACTTCCAGTAAGCCAGGCATAAGGAGAGAAGGATATAATCCTGGCTGATGGCAATACACACTGGGTAGGGAAGTTATAGCAGACAGATAAAAAATATTTCAAAGGAAACTGTCTATATAGGGTCACCATCTAAAATGGTAAAACTGTGCCAAGCTCTACAACCTCCCACTGGAGTCCTTTGGCAAGTTATTTAGCCTCTATCTGTCACAGCTTTGCATCTTCTAAACAGGAAACACAACAGTATCTTCACCATAGAAAGCATGCAAGGATTGTAAGGGTCGATACATGCAAAGAATTTAGAACTAACTATATAGTAAGTACTCTAACAATATTAACCATTATTTTCATTCATTAATCAGAAAGCGATAAAGAGATCTATTGCTGCCCCCTCAAAATAAATAAAATAGTTGGTAGGACAATAAGAGCAAATATAGTGAAAGACATAGGAGATTCAGGACCACACACTAAGTGAATGGCAAAAACTCATACTTAAAGGTCAGAGTAAAGATGATTCTGTCAAAGCAGATAAACTGAGAGAGAGAAAAAGTCAGGGGGAAAGTCTCAATGGTTTGTAAACTTAGGGGTTGTACAGAGAAGAGAGAACAAAGCAGACTTGACTGCTATCCTTGAAAGGCCTTGTTACAAGGCTGGCTCTTGGATGGTGTCTGGGAACTTGGATTTTGGGAGAGCACCACCACCCTAACTGACAAGGGTGGCTTGCTGTACCTAAACGATCTGTGCAAACGATATGGTTTATGCTAACACCTACTTCCTTTTGGGAGTCTGGAATTTTGGTATGAGAGGTAGCAATCTATGTGAACAGCCTCCAGTAAAAACCATGGGAAGTGAGTCAATGTGCTTCCCTGGTAGATAGCATGTCATATGTGTGCTGGGATTTGAGCAAACCTGTACGACTCCACTAGGAGGTTCCCCTGGCCTTTGCCCATGTGATTTTCTCCATGTCCTTTCACTGTAATAAACCACAGCCATTAGTGTGACTCTATGCTGTTGAAAGTGTAAGATTTATCCTGTAAATTACTAGCACACCTGCACACAAATTCACATACAAGTATGTATATCACAGCACTGGGCATAATCACAAAAGGAAACAGTCCTTTAACAGGGGACTGGTGAGATCAATTACATACATATGTTAATACACACAATGAACAAATTATGCAGCAATTAAAATAAGTAAGGAAATTCTAAATGTACCGATATCTCCAAAAGTGTGTAAAAAACAAAAATAAAGCAGGGTGTAGAACAGATTATATGATACGTACATGTGAAGAAACAGGACATACAAAAGGTGATATATACAACACACTTAGACATTCACATATATTCTCAGGAAAAACATACAAAATAATGGTAGAAAAAGATGACCTTTGAGGAGGGGAACTGAGCACCAGGGTAGCAAAAATTTATGTTTTAATGAAAACTTTAAACAATGTTTGAATTTTTTAAAATGATTTACATGTATTATCTTTATATTTTAAAAAGTAATAAAAAGGAGCCCTGGCCGGTTTGGCTCAGCGGTTAAAGCATAACCCCGCGGTCCAGAGAGACCTGGGTTCAATTCCCACTAAGGGCACGTACCTTGGTTGCAGTTTGTCCCTGGCCCTGGTTGGGTTGTGTGGGTGGCAGCCACTCGATGTGTCCCTTTCACATTGATGTTTCTATCTCTCTCTCTCTCCCTCCCATCCTATCTGAACAAAAAAA